CCTGAGTGGCATGGAAAGGTCAACTGGTACCGGTTAAAAAGCGTCAACCTTTCAAGCATGCCGCAGCGTTGTGCAGCGCACAAAGACCTCCGCGGTCCTCTCAGGCTAAAGACTGCGTGCAAAATCATTGATCGGGCTGATCCGCCCATGTAGGGTTTTCGGATCAGGAGCACAGGCAACGAACTGAAAGCCGCCTGGTTGCAGAGTCTTAATCAAGTCATGCAACGTCATTCTATGTCGCGGCCGGCTTTGTACACAAGCCCTTGCATCACTTAAGTCCATGGGGCAGAACTCATCTGGCCACCGATACGTCACGCGGCAGGAGGTTCGATTCGCAGTGCCGCGGCCTGCTTCGCCAGCAGCCGCGGGTGATGCGGCCTGCTTGGCCAGCAACCGCGGGTGATGCGGCCTGCTTCGCCAGCAGGCGCGGGTGATGCGGCCTGCTTCGCCAGCAACCGCGAGTGATGCGGCCTGCTTCGTCAGCAACCGCGGGTGCCGCGGCCTGCTTCGCCAGCAGCCGCGGGTGATGCGACCTGCTTCGCCAGTAACCGCGGGTGCAGCGGCCTGCTTCGCCAGCAGCCGCGGGTGATGCGGCCTGCTCCGCCAACAGCCGCGGGTGATGCGGCCTGCTTCGTCAGTAACCGCGGGTGCCGCGGCCTACTTCGCCAGCATCCGCGGGTGCCGCAGCCTGCTTCGCCAGCAGCCGCGGGTGCCGCTGCCTGCTTCGCCAGCATCCGCCGGTGCCGCGGCCTGCTTCGCCAGCAGCCGTGGGTGCCGCGGCCTGCTTCGTCAGCAGCCGCGCAAGTGAGAGTCTCCCAGCGGGCCGTTCCCGAGCGGCGGGCATCAGTCGTCGGCGCCGTAACACATCTGGCGCTGGCCGACGTGCGGGTCACGTGAGCGGCCGGCCGGCCCAGCTCTCCCGGGAGTCCCCGAGCCGCGCCGCCCCTGTTTTGCCGGCTCGCCGCTGCCTGGCGCCGTGTCCCAAGACGGCCGGGTGGCCGCCGATTCGCCGACGCCGTTCCCGCGAACCCGCGACGTCACAGCGGGCGCGCCGGCGCCTGCCACGCGTCTTGCCGCGCTGTGTGTCGCACCTGTGAGTGGCTGACGTCATGGCGCCGCCGGTCAGACCGTGACCGCCGGCACCGCCGCGGTCGCTTTCTACCGGGTACGAGAGAGGGGAGGGGCGTCCAGGTCTGCTGCCGGCGGGCTGCGGGATGAGGTGACTCTGCAGTCTTCTTGTTAGGTTTTGGCCACGCTTGCCATTGAGCATTTGGTCGGGACATATTTCACATATATATATATATATATATATATATATATATATATATATATATATATATTGTTGGGTTGGGTAGTTTTAGAGAACGACACGGCTCCCGCGTGACAATAAAGAGTAAAGAAGCACAACAAAACGTTGCGAATCGCCAGTGCGATGGTTAGAGGTGGATGCCTTGATTGTTTGAAATGAAATTAGGCGTCTTGCCTGTGTTCATAGCTGGCCTGGCTAACGATATCGATCTCATGACTTCCAAGCGATTTTGTAAGGTCCCACAATGGCGCACCGCCCATCGTTAAAAGGCTGTTGTTATGTCCGTAATGTTCCAGGAGACGTCGCATTGTGTGGACCCTGTCACGCTCACTGCGGCGGAAATGGCCACAAATGCGGTTTGCCGTCCTGCGCTCCCATGCTGTGCGGCTTGATGGCATCGAGGAGCCGTCTGGACATATGCTTGCCATTCCGATTGCTGGTCGATGGGCAATTCCCCTTTGTCATGACGTCGACTGAAGACTGGGCAAAGTCCGTGGTGCTGCGGCTTTCTGGCTTGAATGCCTGAATAGTCTATGCATATCTTAGGCATACGGCTTGCGCTGACGCGCTGAACATGGCTGGGATGTATGCGTCGATAATGCATGACGCAGATCGATCGGTTCAAGCACAAGCGAAACGGTGCCATCCTCCGTAGTCCGCAGGTCATCGATCGCTCGGACAATCACGTGGACGTTTGCGGAGCCGTCACCCTGCGGACGGCTTTGACTGAGAATTTTTTTTAATTAGTGACGAGTACATTCTGTGCCTCTTTCTGCCACCGCATGGCCTCTTGTTGCGAATCCCGTGTCCAACTGATAGAGTGCGCCGTCCGTGACGGTCGGCCTCAGTGGGAGCGCCGCTACAGGGCCTGTCCGCCCAGCGTCCTGTCGGCCTCAGTGAGAGCGCCGCTACAGGGCCTGTCCGCCCAGCGTCCTGTCGGCCTCAGTGGGAGCGCCGCTACAGGGCCTGTCCGCTCAACGTCCTGTCGGCCTCAGTGGGAGCGCCGCTACAGGGCCTGTCCGCTCAGCGTCCTGTCGGCCTCAGTAGGAGCGCTGCTACAGGGCCTGTCCGCCCAGCGTCCTGTCGGCCTCAGTGGGAGCGCCGCTACAGGGCCTGTCCGCCCAGCGTCCTGTCGGCCTCAGTGGGAGCGCCGCTACAGGGCCTTTCCGCCCAGCGTCCTGTTGGCCTCAGTGGGAGCGCCGGTACAGGGCCTGTCCGTCCAACGTCCTGACCTCCGTCAAAACACAGCGATCACCCCTTACCGTGCTCCCACAGTCCAGTTGCCCAACGTGAGTAGCAGGTACGCCTTCGGACCCGGCACGAGGCGGCCGATGTTGGGCCTGCGCGTGTCTCGTCTGCCGCCCGGCCAGGGCCGCCCTGTGTACGTCTCACGCCGCGCTGGGGCGGAGCGCCTGGGCCGGCCCGACCCCACGCTGACGTCACGCCCGTGAGTCAGCCGTGACCCCGGACTGTGGTGGAGACGGCTGCACCGGTGACGACTGCCGTCACCGCGGGCGCGCCGCGTCCGGGGCGCCCGCGCCCGTGGTCGGCGCCGGCAGGGCGACACGGCGCTGACCTCGCTGGCCGGCAGATGTAGATATTCATCAGGAGGATCCTGAGAAGCCGGGTATGGTTCGTGCCAGCGTCAGGCTCGTTCGTGAGAAGGTTGTTGCTGACGCACGCCGCTGCAGCGTCTTTGTGGTGAAAGGTCATTTATTGTTGGCGAACTCGGACACGCTTAGCCTAATTTGGGGGCAAGCGTCCTCGACAGTCGAGCGACCTGAAACCTTCGTTAAATAAACTTCTTTTATGTGACATGTCTGCAGAGTTCAATATCGCAATGCATATCCGCGAATCCTTTTCGTCCATGACGAAAACCTCACGAGGATTTTCCTTTTTACACAGCTCTGTCGCGTGGGCCCTTTTGTGAATAGCGTGCCGCGTGATGCTTGTCTGCCACGGGCCAGAGCCTGTGAAGCACATTTCTCGTGAAATGCTCGCTGTTGATCGTTTGGCGGCAGCCGTTGTGACCACGGGAGCAGCCGCGCTGGTCGAAATCGTGGCAATCTGTCCCAGCAACGTCCCCATTGCGTTTACCTCGAGACCCGGTTGTCCGATACATCGGCAAGAGGGCCGCTACTGTGGCGTGATGACCAGCGGGCTGGGCAGACTGGGACTCGACCCGATCACAGTACAGCGGGTGCCCGGCCGCGCGGCCGCCGGCGACCCGTCCCGACGAGGCTGTGACCATACCCGCGAGCCGCCCGCCCCTGCTGACGAGGCTTTGACCATACCTGCGAGCCGCCCGCCCCTGCTGACGAGGCTGTGACCATACCTGCGAGCCGCCCGCCCCTGCTGACGAGGCTTTGACCATACCCGCGAGCCGCCCGCCCCTGCTGACGAGGCTTTGACCATACCTGCGAGCCGCCCGCCCCTGCTGACGAGGCTGTGACCATACCTGCGAGCCGCCCGCCCCTGCTGACGAGGCTGTGACCATATCTGCGAGCCGCCCGCCCCTGCTGACGAGGCTTTGACCATACCTGCGAGCCGCCCGCCCCTGCTGACGAGGCTGTGACCATACCTGCGAGCCGCCCGCCCCTGCTGACGAGGCTGTGACCATACCTGCGAGCCGCCCGCCCCTGCTGACGAGGCTGTGACCATACCTGCGAGCCGCCCGCCCCCCTGCTGACGAGGCTGTGACCATACCTGCGAGCCGCCCGCCCCTGCTGACGAGGCTGTGACCATACCTGCGAGCCGCCCGCCCCTGCTGACGAGGCTGTGACCATACCTGCGAGCCGCCCGCCCCTGCTTACGAGGCTTTGACCATACCTGCGAGCCGCCCGCCCCTGCTGACGAGGCTTTGACCATACCTGCGAGCCGCCCGCCCCTGCTGACGAGGCTGTGACCATACCTGCGTGCCGCCCGCCCCTGCTGACGAGGCTGTGACCATACCCGCGAGCCGCCCGCCCCTGCTGACGATGCTGTGACCATACCCGGGAGCCGCCCGCCCCTGCTGACGAGGCTGTGACCGTACCGCCGGCGAGTCGCCCGCCCCTGCTGACGAGGCTGTGACCATACCTGCGAGCCGCCCGCCCCTGCTGACGAGGCGGCTGTGACCATACCTGCGGCCGCCCGCCCCTGCTGACGAGGCTTGACCATACCTGCGAGCCGCCCGCCCCTGCTGACGAGGCTGTGACCATACCCGCGAGCCGCCCGCCCCTGCTGACGAGGCTGTGACCGTACCGCCGGCGAGTCGCCCGTCTGTGCTGACGAGGCTGTGACCGTGCCGCCAGCGAGCCGCCCACCCCTGCTGACGAGGCTGTGACCATACCGCCGGCGGGCCGCCCGCCCCTGCTGACGAGGCTGTGACCATATCTGCGAGCCGCCCGCCCCTGCTGACGAGGCTGTGACCATACCTGCGAGCCGCCCGCCCCTGCTGACGAGGCTGTGACCATACCTGCGAGCCGCCCGCCCCTGCTGACGAGGCTGTGACCATACCTGCGAGCCGCCCGCCCCTGCTGACGAGGCTGTGACCGTACCGCCGGCGAGTCGCCACCCCTGCTGACAAGGCTGTAACCGTACCCGCTCGTGTTGCAGCGGACGAGTGACCGCCAGTCGGGAGCTGCGCCGCCGACTCGGGGCGGTGCGACCCCAGCCGACGCCAGCCACTGACGCTGCTCTCTGCCCGCAGGGACAGCGGCCACTACGTGCAGCGGCTGTGGCGAGAGGTGCGCGTGGGTGACATGGTGCACCTCTCCTGCGACGAGCTCATCCCGGCCGACCTGCTGCTACTGCACTGCTCCGACAGCCAGGACGTCTGCTACATCGACACGTGCAACCTGGACGGCGAGACCAACCTCAAGCAGCGGCGCGTCGTGCGCGGCCTCGAGGGCAAGGTCAGGCGCCAGCGGCGAGGCCAGGTCACGCCCGGTCAGGGTCCCTGCAGTTGTCTTCACACCACAGGCATGCCTTTATAACGTTTTTAAGGACTTTGGCAGCTGCAGGCAACCAGAGCAGGTAGAGACGTGAAACGAGCAGTGCATTGTAGACGAACTATTGCGCACCTGCAAATCTGCAGCGGATGTCATCTTTTCCAAAGGTGGCCTCAAAGACATTTGGCGTGCCCTTTCCCAAAACGGATCGGGCTGTGAAAACCGCATAAGCGCATTGCTCAGCTTAAAATAACCATATTGTACCCAAAGGGTTTGCATGTTTCCACTTCTTTTATCACAGTCATCAGACTTGATTCCCTGACTTCATTCGCTTCTTCCATTCAGACCGGCAGGAATTGACAGGCCTACAACCGGCCAGTATTCTAGTGATGTCCTCCGTAAACGCGTGCGCGGTTGCTAAACGTAACCGCTCCTCTGCCTGCTCATGTTCCGCCTGCTCCTTCTCCGTCTACTTTTGCTCCCTGGTCAGTCCCTGCTCTTCTGCCTGTTCCTCCGTCTGCCCCTGCCCCTTCGTCTGTTCCTGCTCCTCCGCCTGCTAAACCCATCAAAAGAGGATGTCAAATGGATTCGAAGTCCTATCGGCTCCCAAAGACGAGGGGCTCTACCCTTGTTCGATGACATATCATCCACATGACGATTACGACCGCGTCTGTCGGCACCCCGCTTGTCCCGTACGCAGAAGGCGTCTCACTGATAACACACGCATCTTTGTTATGCTCGTACTCAAATATCAAATGCTCCTTTAGAGTCTGGTCCGTGTGTCCAGAGTCAGATTGGTTGCATCGAGCGATTTCGTTTTATTCTGCTTTATCGTCAGTTGTGACTAGCTTAGTGTTCTATTTTATCTTTTGTTTTTGCATGTTTCACTTTCAGCCCTACATGAACAAGTGCAGGCCCGAAACGTCGCGAAAAAGAAAATGTGACAAATCTCTTCGTGGGTCTTTGCGACGTCATATGTGAAACCTTTGGCATGCTGGTTACCACCTTGTCCTTCATATTGATGCAACACTCCGTTAAATTGCGGACAAGCAATTGCTTGACCGTGGCTCAGGTGTGGTTTGACTTCTTTACCGGCGAATGCAGCACTGTTGTAGCCGTGCGCAGACAGCTGCACATGCTCTCTGCGCTCATGTGACGCATCAGGGGTCGTCTGGCGTTCCTATGTCAGATCATGGTGACAGGGTCTGCTGTTTTCTATCCATCTGTGCGTTTTAAGCTGTATTAATTCCCAATCATGACTTTATCCAAATCTAATGACAAAATGAGGCATAGAAAAGCGTGGGTGAGCATGGGTAACTGTTTTTGTCTGGCATGTGCTTTCGGGAAATATGCTTACTTCCACAAACCTTCCGTCCCACGTCGGGATGTATTCGTGTAGCAGGGGCTGCTAAGTTTGGGTGGAATTTGCAATGGTATGGTTGAGAGGTAATCTAGATTATTGGCACCCAGTACGTGATGTTACACATTGGTCAGGGAAGGCTCTGTGGTTGGCTTAGAGAAGGGAGCGGAAAAGTTATGAACATTTTGCTGACGCCCGTTTTCCTTGCTGTCGCCAAACAAAGAGGTCTCCCCCCCGCCCCACCTTCCGTTCTCCAGTCACTTTGAAATTGAACGTGCTGAAGCCTAGCGGAAAGCGACATGGTTGACCGAGCTAAAGACGACGTCAGATTAGTTCAGTGAACTTGTGTGACCTTTGATGTGTCAAGCCGACCAGCTGGTCAAGGTTGCTGGATCCCTATCTGTTTTCCAGACTATGTGTGCCGGGACAGACGACAGCATTTTTGTGTTGCCCTTGGTGCACTCGTTCCCCAGGCAGCAAATCACATGCACATCCATCAAGTCATCAGTGGGTATGACTTGCGATATGTCACGTTATGTCACACACGGATCAAGCCTCGTGTACATGGGTCCGCCGCAGTAGGTGAAGAAGTGCGCGTGTGCAGTGAGACGAACGACACCGGACAGCGTGTGTCGGATTGCAACAACTGACGGATGATGTGTCGTGAGATAAGCCAAATCAGGTTTTCCAATGGCTAAAAATTCACCCTGTACGTATTTATTTTATTGGCGCCCTGTACTCAGCATGACCTTGGGTGATATCTGAGTGTTGCGTTTTGTACGATCGCGGCATGCTGATCGCGAAAAAGAGTCTATTCTTCTGGACTTATGAACGATAAGCTTTATAAATGGTCACAAAACTCGTGGACATGAAGGAAACTCGGTTGTCGAAAAGTTCACCACTTTTCTGTTAGTGGTTTGGAAGTTACAAAATAGCTTCAGGGGGTGTGAAGGCCCTTCGTTCGGCGAAGCTGGAGACATTGCCATAACACTGTAGCTGAGCATGCAACGCACACGCGTAGACACACGCACACACAACAATTTGTTTTCCCCCTCACCTTCCCAGGATGACTGGTGAAGATGATGTTATCCTTGTTCGTCGTTTGGCTTGTTTCGATTGCTGGTAATGATGACATGGGCGTCGAATAACCAAGCTGTTAATGGCGCTCTAAAACCCAAATCATCAACATCGATGGTGGCCGAATGTAGTCATGCCGATGCCCCTTTGTGCTTGTTGTATCCATGCCTCATTCCTGGCGACGTTTCGCCTGGCTGGCGCGATTTATTCCAATGTTATTGCTAACCGCTATCGAACCCACAACTTCCCGAATATCCAGCGGCCTGAGCCGCATCTGGCCAGGATCCTAGCTATGGCGAGCCTGAAAGGGAATATTCCGCATTTGAACATCTTGCAGCAGGCATCAGATATGATGAAATACGCTCACTTATTACTTTTGGTAGGTTTTTAAGTAGAAAAGACCGCTTTAGACGACACAATGCCGCTGTGTGGTAAATATGCCCTTCAGTGCGTCGTTATTTAATTACATTATCGTACCTTCCACTGGAAAATATCTAGAAACCGTGCTCAAGAACGCCAGATAATCATGTTTTTCTTGGCCTCGTTTGCTGCATGGTAAATGGAATGGCAGGATTTGATCGACGTCAGTTAGGCATGGATGCTTTGGTGACATTGAAATACTAGTCTTCCCAAAAAAGTCTGCCCATCCTCGCGGGCGTGCAGCTCAGAAACTAGAAGGCTATAGGCAGGGTAGGGCTATGAACTGCACCGAATGATTTCAAGATGGTAAGTTCAGTTTAAAGCCCCATGCAAATGTGGAACACTCCCCTTAACTTACAGTGACAGCTACAGCCTGCTGGCCGTCCCGCCGTGCGTGTCACCCCGGCCGGCGTGCCCCGTGCGCCGCGAGTAACCGCGGTCAGAGGGGTCACGCCCCGCTGACGCGCCCCGCGCCGCGGGTCCGCGCGGAGCTAACCGCGGTCAGAGGGGTCACGCCCCGCTGGCGTGCCCCGCGCGCCGCGAGTCCGTGCGGAGCTAACCGCGGTCAGAGGGGTCACGCCCCGCTGACGTGCCCCGCGCCGCCGCGGGTCCGTGCGGAGCTAACCATGGTCAGGGGGGTCACGCCCCGTTGACGTGCCCCGCGCGCCGCGGGTCCGTGCGGAGCTAACCGCGGTCAGAGGGGTTGCGCCGCGCTGGCGTGCCCCGCGCGCCGCGGGTGCGCACGCAGTTAACCGCGGTCAGAGCGGTCACGCCCCGCTGACGTGCCCCGCGCGCTGCGAGTCCGTGCGGAGCTGACCGTGCTCAGAGGGGTCACGCCCCAGCCGGCGCCAGCCAGGCTGCTCAGCCGGGCTCGGACTCTGCCCCGGCCGATAGAGCGCCGCGTGCCCGACGATTATCGGGCGCGGCGACCGTGCGCCACTCCGACCAGATTACCAGTCGGATTTGGCTCCGAGCTCTCGGAGTAACTGGTTGCTGTGCTGTGCTCACGCTATCACAGACGTACCGAGTTTGGGGCGAGGGATGTTGGCACAGCGCTGCACGTTATTTGTCCTGATTTACTCACTGTAAAGATGTATAATAATATTAAAGATTTAAAGGTTTGTTATAAGATTTCCCCACCAGTAGCAGTTTAATGTGTTGGATGACCTCGCTATGTCAGAACTTCAATGGCGAATGCCCTCTGAACCTGTGCCTTTTCCACAGCACGAGACGTTTCACGCCAGCAAGTTTTTCGGAACGGTGGAGTGCAACCCGCCGACGACCAAGCTATACCGGTTCTTCGGCAGCGTGATCCACCAGAGCAGTCAGGAGCGCGTGCCCGTCACCAGCGAGAACCTGGTGCTGCGCGAGGGCGTGCTCAAGAACACCGACTACGTGGAGGGCATCGTGGTGTACGCAGGTGCGCGCGGCCGCAGCGCGGAGGCGGCGACTGTCTGGCGAGGGTGTCCCCTGGCGCTGTGTGCTGAGAGTCAACTGAAGCTCTCCCGTGCGCGTACGGGCGAATTCGAGGTCTTGTGCGCGCTGGCTCCTCCGTCGTGCTGACAGGTCGGCCCTGGCCTCCCGCCGAGCCGAGGCCCGTGCCGCGCGCGCCGGAGCCTCGTCCGCGCGTCGATATATCGTTACCCGAAATCGCGCTCGCCCGGCTGGATGCCGTCGGGCCGGGCATTTTTAACGAGACGTGGCGGGTGCGTCCGTTGCCGCGCGCGGTATCGGTCGGCGGCAACGGGCCGCGTCCCACGCGCCGCAGCGGCGGGCTCTGCCGCCGGCGGGGGTCGATGATGGCCGCGCACTTGACGCACAGGGGCCGGGACGCCTGGCGGCCTTGCGGCGTGCGGTAGGTCGATGGGTTCGGCAGGGTCTCGCGCCGATTGGCGGCCGCCGAGATGGGACCGGGCGGGCGGGCGGAGCGGCGCGGCTGAGAGCAATCGAGGCAGCACAGACCCTGGAAGCGGGAGGGGGAGGGGGGGGGGGGCGGCGCTTCACCGCCGGCCGGGTCGCCGCTGCCGGTCGCTGGCTCTGTTTGACGCGGGGTGGAGGCTGCTGCCGGTCGTCCACAGCTTCGGAGCGGAGTGGCCGTCCCGTGACGGCAGTGGCGGCGCCGAGAGCGGCGCGCACAGGCATGCTGAGCACACACGCTGCATGTCTAGCGGTCGCTTGGTCTGTGTCTCAATTGCTGTCTCAGCAGCTACTATAAAATCGTCTTACACAGTTCAGTGTTTTGGGGATTAGCCCTGCATGTGGGGATGTCCGTGACTGACGTTCCGCGTACGACAAAGTCTTCGCTTGCTAAGCCGATGTAAACTGGCGCGCCTGACCTTGAGGGAGAGGTGCGGTGGTTCGGTTATCGGCGGGAGCTTTGCAGACGAGCTGATCCAAAGGTCAAGCTGGCGAATGTCTGAAGAAGGCCGTTATTTGAGACGCACGTGCAGTTTGCTGTTCAGGAGCTTTGACCACCTGTTTAATTTATTGGCGTCGGATAATCTAAGCTCTGTAGATTCATATATCCGTGGAATAAAATGGCGTCTCTTCAACGTTTCAGGGGAGAGCTTTCAGGACGTAGTTATCGGATTTTGTTCTGGCCCATTTGTGTGTTGTTGCTTGCTGCTTTGCTCGCTGCGCCTCTGCTCATGCCGTTACCATGTACTCCTGTCCGACGCGTCTGACCGACACTGTTGACCGGCACTGCTGACCGACACCGCTGACCGACACCGCTGACCGATACCGGTAACCGACACCGCCGACCGACACCGCTGATGAGTATCACTGACGGACGCCGCTGACTGACACCGCTGACGGACACCGCTGACCGGCATTGCTGACGGACACCGCTGACGGACACCGCCGACCGACACCGTTGACCGATACCGGTGACCGGCACCGCTGACCGGCACCGCTGACCGATACCGGTAACCGACACCGCTGACCGACACCGCTGATGAGTGCCACTGACGGACGCCGCTGACTGATACCGCTGACGGACACCGCTGACCGGCATCGCTGACGGACACCGCTGACGAACACCGCTGACCGACACCGCTGAGAAGCATCACTGACCGACGCCGCTGACTGACACCGCTGATGGACATCGTTGATGGACACCGCTGACGGACATCGCTGACGGACATCGCTGACGGACACCGCTGACGGACACCGCTGACCGACACCGCTGAGGAGCATCACTGACCGACGCCGCCGACTGACACCGCTGATGGACATCGTTGATGGACACCGCTGACCGACACCGCTGACGGACATCGCTGACGGACATCGCTGACGGACACCGCTGATTTACGCCGCTCACCGATACCGCCGACCGACACAGTTGACCAACACTACTGACTGATACCGTTGACCTTCGGGCACCCCTCCCCTCTGCGCAGGACACGAGACGAAGGCGCTGCTCAACAACGGTGGTCCTCGCTACAAGCGCTCCAAGCTGGAGCGGCAGATGAACATGGAGGTGATCTACTGCGTCATCATCCTGCTGCTGCTCTGCTTCACGGGCGCTACCGGCTCGGGCCTCTGGCTGGCCGGCTTCGCCGACACGGTGCCCTTCTTCCCGTACTCGTACAACTCGCTCAACCCGCCGCTCGAAGGGTTCATCACCTTCTGGACCTTCGTTATCATCCTGCAGGTGCGTGTGGGAGGCGGCGCATCGCGCTCTGTGTCATCAAACGTTGAACAAATAGGTCCTGCATGCCGTGCCCCCAGCTGTGCGCACCGGCAGCGCAGATGCCTGCCTTGCGCTGCTGAAGAATGCTAAGTGTTTTGGGGCCGTCGAGAGGCTTTGTGGCGAAGTCTTGTGGCGAAGTCTAAACGGTGACGTAGATCTGCGGAGTAACGCAGCCGCTCGCGATCAGCTGTCGGCGTCCGGCGCCGCACTCTCGGACGCGGCGGCCCCGTCCCGGAACACTTCCGTCCACCGCTGCCAGGGGCTCGCGGGCGCCGAGCCGGACGGAGCCGTCCCCCGGCGATCACGCGCGCCAGGAAAGAGGCAGCGGCGTGTACCTTATCGGCCTGGGTTTATGATGCTGCACTCTGTAGCGCAGAGCTCTGACAACACAGTGGTGCTCCGTTTAATGCACGCCTTTAAGTTGGGCCCTGATGCACGTGATACCTCGCTGTGAGTCGTGCCTGGTGTCATGCCGGGCTTCTGCCTGGCCAGTTACTGCTGTCTGGAAGACGGTGACACCGGACTCGGCAAGGCAGTGTGCCGTCCCTCGTGAGGCCCCACTCATGTCATCATGGGCGTGGCACTGTTCTGGATGGCACTGGGCCCAGCTAACGGTCCGCGAGCAGTGAAATATGCGGTAGAATGACCGTTTGAGGCGGTCAATGTCCACCGGGCAGTGGTAGGTCTTCGAGTAGTGCTCAGCAAACCGTGCATTATTGACGGTGCAATTGATGCGTGGGGCGCAGCCGGCGATCGCGGCGTCGCCAAGTCCTGCAACATTGATGGCGCCGCGTGTTTCTTTCATGGCTGGACAGCCTTGAATGTGGCCGAGTCAATACGCCAGCGTTGCACGGCGCGGGTACGGCTGGCGCGTCGCGCCGCGCCAGCCGTGCTGCGTGCGGCCTCCGTCGCCGCCGCCCCATGCGGGGTCGAACAGAGACCGCCCGGCCTGTTACGACGCTCTGGCAGGTACTTTGCCACAGGTGTTGATGATCTGGCAATAAGTCGCCGGCGATGTTACGGCTCGCGCCGCCGTGCAACCAATAGCGCACAATGGCGCCGAAAGTGTCGGGCTTTGCCTGTTGCGACTGCGCTTCATTGATTACCCGTGGCGACGCCGCTGGGCGCCCTGCACTCACCATTGTCCGTGGTAATGCGCCGGCAAGACCTGAATGGCCTCAGGGCCGGCCTGTTGGATTGACCGTCTCTTATACCACGCCCCCCCCCCCCCTGCACGCACGAGGTCACGGCCGGGTCACGCTGTGAGTCGTCCGTGCTGAGCATAGCCTTTAGTAGTAATGATGTGTGTTTGGGCGTGACGATGATGCTTAATGTTGCTTTGGAGAATTGGTGGTAATTGTGGCGTTTATGTATACACGCATGACGTGCGTGCTGGCATTTTCGGGCAGACAGCCAACCAACGCAAACATGAGGTTTCCACCCACGTGCAGGTGATTATTCCTTTACCCATTTGTTAATGCGTGATGACCTTCGACGTCCGGTGTGCGAGTGATGGCCGTGACGCCCATGTGACGGTTTGCGCGTGCGCGTCGCCAGGTGATGATACCCGTCTCGCTGTACGTCACGCTCGAGATCATCAAGCTCATGCAGGTGTATCACATCCATAACGACCTGGAGCTGTACGACGGCACCACCAACAAGCGGACCGAGTGTCGGGCGCTCAACATTACCGAGGAGCTGGGTCAGGTAAGAGGCCGTCCGGCGACCGGTCGGCGGCCTGGCGCCTCCGGTGCCCCCGGCGGTCCCGGTGGTCCCGGCGGCCCTGGCGCTCCCGTCCGGCCCGGCGCTCCCGTCCGGCCCGTCCCCAGCGCCGCGGACCGCGGAGACCAGCCGTGGCGCCAGGGGCTCGTGACCTGCGTTCGCTCGCGGCAATACCGTGCGACGTTCATGAATGTGACGCAATCGCTTCTGCTGACGTCCCTGCAGCTCAATGTAGAGTAATTGGCCGCCATGTTACGATCGTGTTACAAGCCGGCTGCCGCCGGACAAGCAGTTGTGCGCCGGTGGTGGTGTAGCTCAAGATCCTGCGGGCGTGCTGGCGGTCGACTCCTCCACGCCGCAGTCCTTACCGCGCCGGATATCTTGGCATGCATAGACTGGGCGACCGTTACGAGCCCAGTGGTCCGGCGCCACCAGCCGGTGACGGGGGCTGTTTGATGCGCCTCAATTTGCCCGTAATAAGTCACCTGGGAGGGCACGGTTATCGCACTGCGCCACCGTAAGCCCGCCGGCACGTGCCGTGTAGAGGGTGCCTGACCTCCGGGCCGCGGCTTGCGGCCGGTCGTGACCTCAGCCCGGCGCCCCTGGCCTAGGCAGCCCTCCCCCCCGCCCCCCCCCCCCCTCCCCCCGGGCGCCGGGCGTGTTGTTACGGCGGCGGCGGCGGGGGTGGCGCGGCACGGCACGCAGCGCCCCCGCGCCCGCCGCCGGCCCGTGTTGTGCCGTTGCTAGGGCTGTCGAGTGACGCCTGGTCAATCAACCGGCCGCCCTCGCCACGGCGCGCGGCTGATGTTTGACTCGCCTCGGCGTTTCCGCCCCTCTTGTGAGGGCCCGCCGCGGTGGCGACACGCCTGCTTGTGAGGGCCGCCGCGGCGGCGACACGCCTGCTTGTGAGGGCCGCCGCGGCGGCGACACGCCTGCTTGTGAGGGCCGCCGCGGCGGCGACACGCCTGCTTGTGAGGGCCGCCGCGGTGGCGACACGCCTGCTTGTGAGGGCCGCCGCGGCGGCGACCGCCTTTGATGCACGCCTGCTGTGGGCGACACGCCGCTTGTGATGGCCGCCGCGGCGCGACACGCCTGCTTGTTGAGGGCCGCCGCGGTGGCGACCGACGCCTGCTTGTGAGGGCCGCCGCGGCTGGCGACACGCCTGCTTGTGAGGGCCGCCGCGGCGGGCCGCACCGCCTCCTGCTGTGAGGGCCGCCCGCGGCGGCGACACGCCTGCTTGTGAGGGCCGCCGCGGCTGGCGACACGCCTGCTTGTGGAGGCCGCCGCGGCTGGCTGACACGCCTGCTTGTTGAGGGCCGCCGCCGGCGGCGACACGCCCTCTGCTTTGAGGGGCCGCCGCGGCGGCGACACGGCCTGCTTGTGAGGGCCGCCGCGGCGGCGACACGCCTGCTTGTGAGGGCCGCCGCGGCGGCGACACGCCTGCTTGTGAGGGCCGCCGCGGTGGCGACACGCCTGCTTGTGAGGGCCGCCGCGGCGGCGACACGCCTGCTTGCGCGAGGCATAACGCGTCAATAGGCGCTGGTGACGCTCGGTGACGCGGCTGGGCCCGATGTCTTATGCATATTCGGTCTATGCCGAAGCAATTTGTAAGGGTGGTGCGTGTGTGTGTGGTGTGTGTGTGTGGTGTGTGTGTGTGTTTGTGTCCTAGCAGCATATTCCTCGTTATGTGTGCCTGGGTTGGGCTATTAGCTCAAGATGACGTCATGCCATAGCTCGGATGTGTTTGCAATGTTGTGTGCTCGGTTATACCGGAGTAGGGCTTTTCCTGGCTGTTAGACATGCTTAAAATAGACGTTGGTAGTGGTAGTCACAATGTGTTGCTCGAGGAAGGCGACCGACGGCGGGCTGAAGTCACTGACTGACATTACACGAAATAGGGACTGAAGTGGGACGGAAAATGTGCTATCGATTAGGATGTTTAAAGCTTTCCTCGCCGAAAGAATAGGCTGAAATGCCTGGAACATAGCTGACATGGTTCAGCATCTGTGCCTGGTTCATCTGGATGAAGGGATTTCTTGTTTGAAATGCTTGAAACATATTCTGTAGGAATTATTCCTGTCATGCTGCAGCATATGTCAGTGGCCTACATGGCTAAATTAATTCCTTTGTACATGCAGTTGCTTTGCTTCACTGTACGCCAGTTCCATAGATGGAACGCTGTGATACACTGATGATAGTATCGAATCAGGTACTGCAAGTAAGACCCCCGAAGACAAGGCTTTGCCAGGGTTTTTCCGTTCCATGCTTAGTGTTAAAGGAAGGGGCGGGCCCACATCGTAAGGGCTTGACGTTCCTGGCCTACTGTGATTCTTCTCCTGGCCTGAGTAAGCATCCTTCTCCCGATCTAAGCATGCATAGCTTTTGAGGTAGCAGAAGCCAGAGGACTGTGCGACACCGTCAACACCCGGAATTCAAAAGGACCTTCGCCGAGTGGAGTTTTGAGCCACATTGCTTGTTGTGAAGCATCTTTGAAGGAATACGAGCCGTGTCCGCGGCTCGGAGCGAGCGGGCGCTCTGAGCCGCCAGCCGCGCCCTGCTGTCCGCAGGTGCAGTACCTGTTCTCGGACAAGACGGGCACGCTGACGGAGAACAAGATGGTGTTTCGCCAGTGCACCATTGGCGGCATCGATTACAGCCACGACGCCGTCATGGAGGGCTCTGGGAAGGTGGGTGTCTGCGCCGGCCGGCGCTCTGCCCGCCTCCTGGCTGCGGCCGGGGCCGCGCGCTGTGGAGGGACGCGTGCTGGGGAGGGACGCGTGCTGGGGAGGGACACGTGCTGGGGAGGGACGCGTGCTGGGGAGGGGGACGTGCTGGAGAGGGACACGTGCTGGAGAGGGACACGTGCTGGGGAGGGGGACGTGCTTGAGAGAGAGTGAGAGAGAGAGAGGGAGGGAGGGAGGGAGGGAGGGAGGGAGGGAGGGAGGGAGGGAGGGAGGGAGGGGGAGGGAGGGGAGGGAGAGGGAGGGAGAGGGGGAGACTGAGAGGGAGAGGGAGAGAGGGAGAGAGAGAGGAGGAGAGAGAGAGAGAGAGAGAGAGAGAGAGAGAGAGAGAGAGAGAGAGAGAGAGAGAGGCGCTTTGACGGCGCGAACGCGTCGCCAGTCTGTAACGCTCGGCGGCGGTGGCAGCGCCAGGTGTGCCGCGCCACAGGCCGCTCTGGCGCACCCGGCGCGCAGTCTCGCCGCCCTGTCCGGAGCAGGCGGAGCAGCCTGCTGGCGACACGCGGCGTGCTGACCCGCCGCCACTGTCCGCAGTTCGAGAAGCCATCGTTCGTGCTGAACCGGCGGTTGCAGGACGAGCTGAACCAGATGGATATTCAGCTGTCGGTGGTGAACCACACCGGCGAGCTGCTGTTCACGCCACACGCGCAGCGCGTGCGCGACTTCTTCCTGCTGATGGCCTGCTGCAACACTGTGGTGGTGGCCAAGCACCCGCACAAGGACAAGGTGGGGCTGCTGATGGTGCTGATGTGTGTGTGTATGCGTCTGTTTCGCTGCACGGTGCAGCTCCGCCATTAAACGCGACGACCGTCTCAGGAGGGGTCTCGCGGCGTGCAGGCAGCCGGAGGCCGGCCCCGTGGCCTGGACGCCCGTGCCGTCCGCTGGGGCCGATGGCGGCGTCGGCCGACGGCAACGGACCGCTTACGGGAAGAGTGGCCCGTAGCGGCGGCAGCGGCCCGCTGCGGGGGGAATGGCCCGCTGCGGGGGGAGTGGCCCGGTGCGGCGGTAGTGGACTGCTGCGGGGGGAGCGGCCCGCTGCGGGGGGAATGGCCCGCTGCGGGGGGAGTGGCCCGGTGCGGCGGTAGTGGACTGCTGCGGGGGGAGCGGCCCGCTGTCGGGGGGAGCGGCCCGCAACGGCGGCACCGGCCCGCTGCGGGGGAGCGGCCCGCTGCAGCGGCAGCGGGCCGCTGGCATGTCCAGCGGTCGTGCCCGGAGGTGACCGAGCGTGGCTCAAAGCTGGCGCGCCGTGAGCCTGTTGCGTGTCCGCCGCACGTGCTCGGCCCACGTGCGGTGGGGCGCGTACATTTGCGCCGCACGGCCCCGGCTAACGTGGAATGAAACTTAAAGCGGCCGGCTTTAGTAGTGCGCCAGCCTTGGACAGTATTGATTGTTGCCATGGACAGCATTCGTCCTGGCAATTAGTATTCGTGCCAGGTGGCATGAATAGCCAGGCGTGTGTTTTTGAGGCCCTGAGGATAAGAGACCCGCTTAGTGGTGGGGTGGAACGGTGTGATATTTCCACATGCACTTTTCCACTTTTCTGAATTTGGGCCCACATTTCTGCATTGGGAAAGGCATCAGCAGACTTGCGTATAGGGTGTGAAGTATCGCGCTTGATAGCATATTTCTCCAACCGTGCGGCTGTGCGTACCAGCCGGTATTGACATGCTGAGTTTTTTTTTCATAAAGGCGTTAGTGACACAGCGTCGGCATGGAATGTGTACGTGACTGAGCCAATGGCCGCGTGCCTTTGGGTGATGCCACTGTGGGATGATCGTTTGGTCACTGAATGATGTACATTTAATTCAGCTCGTAGATTATTAATCATGGTTAACACTTCCTACTTGATGATGGGCAATACTCGATTATACAGGCGTGGAAGTCAGTTGTAGTCTTGCTCCTTGTCGTTAGATGGCCATGGTTTCCATCAAACGAATTCATTCACGTAGCCCACTAATTTCTCAGTACCGGGCTATGTGTTGACCTTAGTGTTGCGTTATGATTTGATGGCTGTATGCTAGTGCCTGTCGCGGCGATATTGAGCTTCGTCTTTACCACGTTTCTCATTCTTCCCCTTTATGAGTCGTTTTTCATTCTTGTTTTCGTGTGACAGTACCATGCATTGCGAATCGCCGGCGAGGGGCCTTGACATATGTGTTGCTGCCGTCGTCGTTCTGCGGTGATTTGACACAAGCACATGAACGCCCCAGCGGAAATGCACAGGTCCTGAATTAAAATGTCTCGCCCGAACGATGCGTAGGCCGTAAGGTAACCACGTTATCATTGATTTAATGTTCAAATATGACTTAGTAAATTGCGGCGTGCATTGCGAATTTTGCATTTCACGGGTCCATGCGTGGGTGGGTCTGCTTGGCCTTCGTGGATGTTTCGTGCGTTTTCACTGGCATGTGTTTCGCATTGCAGTAAGGCACTGGTCATAAGCTGCCTAATTATTGTTCCAGCGAGTTGAATGCATGACCAGGTGCAAGGCTGTGCGCAGGAGTTGTTTCGATGTTGAGTGAGCAGAACAACGCGTACACAAAATCACATGTGGCTTGTTTCCGTACAGGTGCGCTCTGTCCCGCACCATCAGGGGCCTTGTGCAGAAATACGTCATTACCGGGCGGGTTGCCGCACCCGTAATTGGTCCGATACTGGAGCGCGTGGTGCGCTGGCCAGCGCCTGACTCGTCGTTAATCAGTCCGCAAACGTGACTGGTCGGTGCTCGTCGCGAGGGACGTCTTGTGCTGGAGTGCCACCATCACCTGCGTCGCTGCAATATAATTGGAGCGGCGGGCGGTCTCCAGACGGCCATAACACTTGGATAGCATCTTGATGGCGCGCGTCCGGTGGCGGTGCGCCGCCGCCCCTGCGCTCGGTTGCACCTGACCCGGACAGCGGTGGGTCCCCACGGCACCTGTCGGCGGGCGCCGCTCGTCGGGTCGCACACCTGGTCGCCCTGTCGTAAAGCATCGCTGCAAGCCTGTCCGCTGCGAACCCGTCCGGGCGCTCGTGTGGCCATAGCTGAATATGCCGTGTCAACACATTCAGTGTGAGAAATTTGCAGGGCTCAAAACTCAGCGGGGACTTGAAGTGGCTCAGGGTTGTGTGCGGCGCTCGCGACTTGTTGTTGTTGTTTTTTAATTGCCATTCTTGCGTGATGTTTATGACTGAACGAGGCTCTGGCGCCGGCGGTTCCCTCAGGCCTGTCCCTGTCAGTCCCCAGCGCTATTGACCTGCTTCCAGTGCCGCTCGCCGTCGCTACTTGCCTTTGTGTCTGTTTGACAGCCGATAGCTGCACAAAGGTCACTTGGTGGGCCCTCTTGTTGTCTGTACCGCTGCTGTCCGCCTGGTGGGTCCACCGTTGTCTGCGTCGTTGACCTCTTGGTGGCCCCTCGTATTGTCTGGGCGCCGCTGACTGCCTGGTGAGCCCTCCTGTTGTCCGCGGCACCGCTGACTGCCCGTTGGGCCCTCCTATTGTCTGGGCGCCGCTGACCACCCGGCGGGCCCTCCTGATGTCTGCGGTGCCGCTGACTGCCTGGTGGGCCCTCCTGTTGTCTGCGGCGCCGCTGACCGCCTGGTGGGCCCTCCTGTTGTCCGCGGCGTCACTGACTGCCTGGTGGGTCCTCCTGTTGTCCGCGGCGCCGATGACTGCCTGGTGGGTCCTCCTGTTGTCTGCGGCGCCGCTGACCGCCGCTCGCCGCCGCAGCTCTCGTCGTCGGGCACCACGCTGCTGGACGACTCAGCCGACGAGAGCTCGCACCAGGTCTCGGTGCCAGCCACCACGCCCGAAGACAGCGTGCTGGAGGACGCCGGTGACGCGCCGGACTTCGTCCGCACGCCGAAGAAGTGGCGACGTGAGCATGAGTGGGGTCGCTACCGGGGTGGGCCGGAATTGGACCTTACAGCTTTTGAGGAAGTCTGGTTAGTTTGGTGCTTTGACCATGTCAGACCACGCCAAAGTCAACTGGACGTCAGGAACAGTTCATATGTGCATACGCCCCCACAAGTAAGGTGCGGTGGGAGAAAGGGGCAGCGAATGTACTGGGAACGATGGTTGTCGTCTTTTATTGCCGATTTGGACGGCGACGACTAAAGTTGGAGTTGGGTCGGACAACGCCCTCGGGCAGTTCTTCCAATGCTGGGTGAGCAGCATGAGTGTAAATGTGAGCCAAAATTTCGGCGGAAATCGGTGCTATACTTGACGGTTAATTGTTGTGAACCATCGTGATTAACTGCTATACCCCGTAACTATACTGCTAATGCCTTTTCCATAAGTACTGGTCGCTTATTGTAATTTTGCTAATCGGACCTGTTGAGTTGGTTGCCTTGCTGACGTCTATTATATGCGGTGAGCGGCCGCACGGCCGCTGACGGTGATACCATCAGGTCGTGACTCCCCGTGACGCGCGGCCGCTGACAGTGATGCCGTCGGATCGTGACTCCCCGTGACGCGCGGCCGCTGACGGTGATGCTGTCGGGTCGTGACTTTCCGTGACGCGCGGCTGCTGACGGTGATGCCGTCGGGTCGTGACTCCCCGTGACGCGCAGGCCGCTGACGGTGGTACCGTCGGGTCGTGACTCTTCGTGACGCGCGGCCGCTGGCTGTGATACCGTCGGGTCGTGACTCTTCGTGACGCGCGGCCGCTGGCTGTGATACCGTCGGGTCGTGACTCCCCGTGACGCGCGGCCGCTGACGGTGATGCCGTCGGGTCGTGACTCCCCGTGACGCGCGGCCCCAACGGCACAGGTAAGCTGGCGATCGGCAAGGCCGACTGGCTGACGCTACCGCTCAGCCTACCGCGCAAGCAGTCGCGCTCCAACACGCCCACGCCGCGCGAGCTGCGGCCCATCTTCGAGGCCGAGAGTCCCGACGAGATGGCGCTGGTCGAGGCCGCCTACAAGTACAACGTCAAGCTGTTGCGGCGCACCGCCACCCACATGGTGGTCTCGCTGCCCGGTGAGTGGGCAGCTGCCCCGCCGGCTGCCCGCCGCCCAGTCGGCTGCCCACTGCCCCCGGCCGCTGCAGCTGCCCTCCCATACAACGGCCGCCTGAAGGGTACGGTCCGTCTGCACGCTCCACAGTGCGTGTCACTCGCTGCCCATGCGCGGTAGATCGATATTTCCATACGCTGCTAGTTTCTTTTTGATGCCGAGCCGTTTGCGTCCTTAGTTGTAGCGGCGCTCATTTTGCTCGTGTTTGGCACCCTGTCGTACCCGCGTGTGACCCGTACGATGCTCCTTGGTATTGTCCTACCCATCCTGTGGCCTGTTACCTCATCCATGTCCTGATGTAGTTCCTGACGCCCGCCCCTCCTGTCCCCGTCCAGGTTCCCCACGCGTCGGCCTCCAGCTGCCGTGAGTCACTACAGCTGCCGTGAGTCTGCCCGCTGCTCTGCGTGCGTCCTCTGGGTGGCTGGGGCCGACCCCAGCCGCCTGGGCTCACCTCGCCCACCACCTGCCCAGCGCCGCCACGGACCGTGCTACGGTCGACGCCCGCGGCGGCGGCGGCGGCGCCGCCCCAGCCCGCCCCGGCCCGTCCCGTCATTCTGCCCCGCATGCGCTTATGCGCGCCGTACGTCTCCACAGCGGAGGGACTGGTGGAGTTTGAGATTCTGCACGTGCTGCCGTTTGACTCGGACCGCAAGCGGATGTCTGTGATACTGCGCCATGTGCCAACTAGCCAAATTGTCGTCTACACCAAGGTATATTCGTGTGTGCGTGACGGGAAGCCGTGGGGGTTTGTAGAATTATTCGGTTAGTTTGTTAATGTCGGCGCCGACAATGGCGCCCCGCCACCAATGGTCAGTTCCTTTTACACTATAGAACGTTACTATACATTCCATCTAGCTTGCCATTTGTTGACCTTGTATGATTCTGCAAGGGGTGTATGCCTCGTCAAAGGGTTAGCAGTGTCGCAAGTTCGTGACGTCACCTTATATCGATTTTAACCGCCGGACATGAGAAATGTGAGAAAAAATTAACCTGACACTCGCCATTTATTGTTAGCATCCGTAGTTTTAATTGTGGGTGGCGGCCGTAACTACGTTCAGTGGAGTGGTAAAATGCGACGGTCAGTGACGTGGTAAACGGCAACGGTCAGTGACGTGGTAAACGGCAATGGTCAGTGACGGGGTAAACGGCAACGGTCACTGACGTGGTAAATGGCAACGGTCAGTGACGTGGTAAACGGCAACGGTCAGTGACGTGGTAAACTGCAACGGTCAGTGACGTGGTAAACGGCAACGGTCAGTGACGTGGTAAACGGCACCGGTCAGTGACGTGGTAAACGGCAACGGTCAGTGACGTGGTAAATGGCAGCGGTCAGTGACGTGGTAAACGGCAACGGTCAGTGACGTGGTAAACGGCACCGGTCACTGACGTGGTAAACTGCAACGGTCAGTGACGTGGTAAACGGCACCGGTCAGTGACGTGTACCACGTCCTGACGTGGTAAACGGCAACGGTCACTGACGTGGTAAACGGCACCGGTCACTGACGTGGTAAACGGCAACGGCCAGTGATGTGGTAAACGGCACCGGTCAGTGACGTGGTAAACGGCAACGGTCAGTGACGTGGTAAACGGCAACGGTCACTGACGTGGTAAACGGCAACGGCCAGTGACGTGGTAAACGGTAACGTTTGGTGACTTGACTCCGTAAGCTGCAAACCGGACAACAAGGACCCTTAACGTCGCATGGAGACTGCAGCTGCGGGTACTTTCAAAGGGCGTGTGACTGTCCGTATTAACAGGCGTATGATCTCACGAGTTCATCTCACGACACTTAAAATGTCAGAACGACCACAGAATAGACCTTGTCATTTACTATTGCACAGGACTCTGATGAAAAAGAACCCTGATGAACCCGAAAGCTCAAGTGCATCAGTCTAGTTTATCAATTGAAATGTAGTTTAAAGTGTTGCGCTTCGTTCCATACACTACATTAATGTGACCGCGACGCGTACGTCTGACGATGCACCTACTGGACGGGGCGCCTTTGGAGCACATGTGACACGAACATGACAGAATATTGTAACACGACAGCGGACGGACAATGCTGACATCCTTCACACATTTAATGACATAAGGCGCCTCGAAACATGGGAAAGCATAGTTATCAACGAATTATCCCCAGCCCTAAACGGACACGTCTTTGTAGAACCAGCTCTTGAGTAATTAGGGAGTCGACGTTAGCTAGTGTTGACGTGATTGTGACTGTGTCTTTGCAGTTCTTGGCTTCTATTACCGATGCATTTGATACACATTCAAGTGACCATGTAAATATTTGGCGTCATCGTACTAAATCATGTTATAAAGACAGAGATGTACGACTCGTACACTGATGTGGAGATTTAAGAGAATTTTCTATATTTGAAGATAGTAGTGCAAGCATCAGCTATGATGAAATTAGCCTACCTATAGCTGTTGGTACACTTTTAGTGGAAAATGCTTCTCTAGGCAGCATAGTTTCTCTGTTTAGAAAATATGTTATCCAATGCATCATTGTTTGATTACGCCATAGCACCTTGCACAACATTGATTGAGAGCCAGTGGACGGTCGTTTTATCTGGAAATCGTGCTCACGAACGTCAGATGTGAGTGACTCGACATGTATGTTTTGTTTATCCTTGGTCGTCACGTGACCAACGAAAATGGCAAGATTTGAGTGACGTAATTATGGCGTCATGGATGCTGGGATGACATTGAAATTACCTTTAAGAATGATGGCCTTTTCCCCGAAATAGTCTTCACATATTTGCGGGCATGTACCTCGGAATTTAGATGAACTTAGGTCATAAGAAGGGTTGTGCTGTGAACTGCACCAAATGATCTTCAGCACGGTAATTCCGGTTCAAAATCCCATACGAATGTGGAGCACTCCCTTTAAGAGCGCTACCTCAGAATAAGGGTCATTTGCAGAACAGATAAATCTGGGAACGGTTGCAGACCCGGGGAATTCCGGTGACTTACTTCACCAGCATGTAACTCCGCCAAAATGGACCGAGATGTTTCATGCGCTGTAAATGGCGCCGCCGCGATTACTATCCTCTTCGGAACAAAGCCTGCCGCGAAGTGTCAGGGCCGTGTGTCAGCCTGAGCGGCGGGAGCGCGGGCACAGGTGTGGGGAGGGGGGAGGGGCAGAGGTTTGGCGTGCGCCGCACGCGCCGCCGAGCGACCGCTCTCACGTCATTCGTGGAGCCCCTCCGTAGGCGGCTCGCCCAGACACCGGTCGTCGCCCAGCGGCCGAGCCCCGTCGCGTGTGGACCGGCTGCGGCGCCCTGACGTCGCCTCAGGGTGTGCTGACGTCAGCAGCCGTCTGTGTGTGTGTGTGTGTGTGTGTGTGTGTTCGTTGTCAACGGCGTGCGCGCGCGCGCGCGAACGCCGTTGATTACAAAGGGTGCATCTGACGTGTGTAGATAGGCGAATTGACGAGTAGCCATGGCGCCAGGCCAGACCGGCATTTCCGTCGCTGTCGCGCCGTTGGCGTCAGGCTGGTGTTGTCAGGAGGGGGGGGGGGGGGGGACGCGTTATGGTATACTCCTGCACTGTGTCATTTAGATTAGTCTAAGCGGTTTACGATTCCTGCACCGGCGCAGCTAATCCGCCATGGACGTCGGGTTAAGCGGCAGGTAGGATCCAGTCATTGAGCATCATTTAATGTATATATATAGCGACGGGAAAGCTGGCTGCAAGCACTTCGCATGTGTTTTTAGATAAGCGAAGGGGCTCATAAATGCCCTTTAATGTGAATAATTTGTGCAGCTGGGCTTTAAATCATGCAGAAGAATCGCTGTCATGGTCGACAAAGGTGGCTGCCTTTTCTGCGGTGGGCTTCGCCCTAACCGGCGGTATTTGTGGCGTGTCGCTGGGCGGGATACTTATGGACAATTATTCACACGATGGCTATAGGCGTAATAGCTTCATCGTATCCGTGATAATGGCCCTACCATGTCTGATAATGGTCCCATCTTGCCAACAGTGTCGCATTTCGACTGGTGTAGCAACTCCATCTTGTCACTGATGTCGCACTGTTGGTGGCGTGATGGCCCGACCTTGCCGTGACGTGGTAGTTTGAATGGGTGTAGCGGAGCACTCGACTCATGTCCGGGCCGGAGAGTGACGTCATGCATCATCGCTACAGTTAGTGACACTCACAGTGCTATCTAAGTTATGCCGCTCAGGAGGGTTGAAGTTTGTAAGACGCGGTTGGGTGCCGGGAGGGCACCTGAGTTACCCAATGAATCAGCAGCAGGCAAGACCCATGTGACAGACAGACATGCAGGGTCAGGCGGCCCTTAAACATCATGGGACATCAGACCGCTATGACCACTCGTGCCGTTGCCACTCAGACCGACTGTAGTTAAATTCACTGTTCAGACTTTGCACCATTCCTCTGCATGTGAACCGAAAGACTCGTCCGTTATCTCATCATTTACTGACTGATCCCTGAGGCTGCTATTCGCAAGTGCTTGGGTCTTGTTGAGGCCATCCGAAGGCTCGGGCTGGGGGTCGCTCGCACCGCCGCGGCGCCGTAACCCGCGCCGCCCGCCCGCCGCCAGGGGGCCGACTCGTCGATGCTGCCGGTGGTGCGGACGACCAGCGACTACCAGTCGCAGGAGATCCTCTACCGCACCCAGCAGCAGCTGAACGTGTCGTCGCGCCGCGGCCTGCGCGTCCTCGTGTTGGCCAAGAAGGTGCGACCCGGCGGCAGGCGCCGGCCAGCCTCCCTCGCCTTGGGCGGCGCGCGGGGGTGCGCTGTGCCACTGAACGTGCTGTTGATGGGCTGGAGGGAATGTGTGGGGCCATGGCGGCGGCGGGGTCGCCTGCTGTTCGCCAGTGGGCCTTCACATTGCCGGCGTGCGGGGGACGCGTGGGATAAACCAGAGCCTAAATGAATCACCTGACTGTGCTGGGCTGACGTGACTTGATTCTGAGTATAGCATCAGTAACCCTTGCCGTGGGTAGTGGAGGAATTTGTGTATATGTTGTCATGTTACCTGGTACCACCGAATTACCCTTCATAGTCGGCCAGGTCTGCTGGTCTCGGCTGTTAAGGGCACTGAACATAGGTAGCCGCGGGTTATTCTCAGCTCTCAGCTATTCTGCACGTGACATTGTGTGCGGGGCGCCCCCTCGGTTTTAGTGCATGTTTTGATGTTGTAGACCACCCTAACACGCTGGCCTCATATGCGGACGCCAGCGTGACGCGCTGTGCTGTGGGATGGCGTTGGTGAGAAGTCGCACGACCCAATGTCGTGATCAGTTGAGGGATATTCACGCTTAATGTCATCTTACTGCATGGACGTGGAAAGTCCCTGGTACTTTAGCTGCATTACGAGTTCAGAGCTCTTATGATGACACGTATCGACCTTCAATATGCTGAAGGGACTGGTCGAACGACGTTGTCAAGCGACACATTAGTCATGTTGACAACGCTCAATATAACATGAATATCGACAATGCAAACAACGTTCGCTTTGATTGACGTCGTTTCACCATTACCTCCTGGCATATCGAAGGTCGATAACTGTCAGCACAGGAACTCTGAACGCATAATGCGGGTGTAAGTACGAGCGACTGTCCGCATGCGTGTCATAAGATGAGAAGTAAATAGTCCTCAAATGACGACAAAATTGGGTCACGTGACTGGCTGAATTCAATTTCAAGAACTGTGAATTCACGATACCGAAAATCAGTAGCCCAAGGCCTTGTCCGCTTGCTGATATCGGGTTATTTATATGCTGTTGGGTGAACCATAAAAATGCGCGCATGTATTGGCAGTTCTCCAATATGAACTAGGCACTGGTATCGGCTGGCACGGATAGTTTGCCGAGAAACATTGTCATGGTATTACTTGCCTGCATGGTATTAGTTATTATGCGTTCAGTCATTTTCTCGGAGCCCGCCACATGTATTCACGCACATAGGATTGTTTAGTTATCAGGGTGATAAGACCGTGGTGATCTCACGCCCTGCCTTTTGACTGGGCCGGTGTTGCCCCAAGTGCTGTTTACAAGTGCTGTTCGCCCCAAGCGTCTGCTTGGACTGTCGTCTGCTCAAGTGCTGTCGGTTCAACCGTGATGTGGGACCAATTGACGTCAGTTTAACAGAAAGGCCTGTCTCGGAGCTATCGGTTTGGCACCAACATCCGTCCCAGGCCTGTCGGTTCGTGTCCGCCTCCTCCCAGCGCTGTCGGCTCGTGTCCGCCTCCTCCCAGCGCTGTCGGCTCGAGTCCGCCTCCTCCCAGCGCTGTCGGCTTGTGCCCGCCTCCCAGTGCTGTCGGTTCGTGTCCGGCTCCTTCCTGTGGTGTCAGTTTGTGTCCGCGTCTTCCCAGCGCTGTCGGTTCGTGTCCGCCTCCTCCCAGCGCTGTCGGCTCGTGTCCGCCTCCTCCCAGCGCTGTCGGCTCGTGTCCGCCTCCTCCCAGCGCTGTCGGCTCGTGTCCGCCTCCTCCCAGCGCTGTCGGCTCGTGTCCGCCTCCTCCCAGCGCTGTCGGCTCGTGTCCGTCTCCTCCCGGCGCTGTCGGCTCGTGTCCGCCTCCTCCCAGCGCTGTCGGCTTGTGCCCGGCTCCTCTCAGCGCTGTCGGGTAAGCTGCGCTCGCTGACGCGGTTGCCTCGCCCGGCCAGTGTCTGACGGAGGAGGAGTACCAGCACTGGCTGACGGCACACCGTGAGGCGGAGGCTCTGCTGCACTCGCGGGAGAGCAAGCTGCAGCAGTCGTACGCCGCCATGGAGGATCGCATGGAGCTGCTCGGTACGCGCTCACCTGCCGACCCTCCAGGCTGGCGTGGCTGCCACCTCGCGCCGAAGCCAGGCGCGGGCTCCAGCCCCCCGACCTGCTGCCCTGAAAGTTTTACATGTACCGTCTTGAACCCGTGCTAGATTTGGGACCGTTTGGACGGGGTTTTGGATGATCTTGGTGCGCTCCATTAACGGAAACCTTTGGGAACTTGTATTAATATATTCAAGTGACTTAAATTCATCACAATTATTCTGATGTTATCCCAGTTCTAACTTGGGAGGGACTTACGTTTCCCGTCGCTAGCGTTGCTGCCTCCCTCTGCACGTGCCTTCTGGGCTTGCGATGCCGGTGCCCCGTCTGGGCAGGAAGGCCGGCGCGCCGTCTGAGCTTGGGATGCCGTTGCCCCGTCTGGGCAGGTATGCCGGCGCCCCGTCTATCCTAGGGCGTGTGGCTCGGGGCCTCCGGGGTTTCCCCCGAGCCCGACGGGACGGCGCGCGGCTCGGCCGTTCACAGTCGGTCCGTTGTGCGCGCGCCAGGCTGCACGGGCATCGAGGACCGGCTGCAGGATGGCGTGCCGGAGACGCTGTCGGCGCTGCGCAGCGCCGGCATCGTCGTCTGGGTGCTGACCGGCGACAAGCAGGAGACGGCCATCAACATCGCCTACTCCTGCCGACTCTTCAGTCAGGACATGGAGGTCATCAAGATCAACGCCAGGTGCGTCACCGGTGGGCGCCTGCCCCGCACGCGGGCATCGCCGGCCGGACTTGCTCGCGTTGAGTACGTAGTCTTCCGTCTGTGGGAATCCGTACCGACTTTGCTGATGTTGATCGCTCCTTCGCCTGTCGCTGGTCGGTGCCGGCCCGCCTGGCTCCCGTGAGACCGGAGTTGTAGGCGCTCTGCAGTGACGGCGCGCCCCCGGGCGCCACAGCAGCCGTGCCTGACCTTTACCGACCGCGCCGGCAGGAGCAAGAATGCGGCCGAGCGGACCGTCACCTTCTACCTGGACCAGCTGAACAGCGAGGGGGCCGAGTCGGCGGCGGGCGGCGGCGGCGGCGGTGGCAGCTGGAAGCGACGCCCAGCCACGCCAGCCAGCCTGTGGTCGGCCGACACGGCCAGCACGGCCGAGCGCAGCGGCAAGAAGGCGCTCGTGGTGGACGGGAAGACGCTCACGTGAGTGCCGCGGCGCCGCGTGGCCGATCAAACGCTCTGGCTCGCACGGGCCGGCCGCCTGTCGCCCACGCCTCTCCGTGTGGCGGCCTCCGCAGTTCAGGCGTACTTGTTGCGTGTTTGGATCGGTCGTATAAGTCGAACGCCCGGTGTTCGTGGAAGTAACGACTCGACGGCTGCCCATGAGGCCAGTGTTTTTGCCGTACCGCGATAATCGCCGTAATTAATACAGTGGCAGGATGGCGCGTGGGTTCATGCTTTGGCGGCTGGAGACTGTGTGACGCCCAAACGTTCTAAGGCACATGCGTAAGCACACGGTGTGCCGTCTAGTGGGCAGCGCCGCGCGATCTGCTGAGGTATCTCCCTGATGGGTTCGGCACGTGTGTGGCGAGGACGTCCGTCTTTTGGACGTCTCTCCGCGCTACCAATCGTTTCCTGATTTCTCCGCCAAGAATAATGCCGTATGGGCGTTATTCAGTGGTCTGCTAAGGTTTCCATATGGATATCTCCCGGTGAGCTATGCCGGGGCCCCGCGTTATCGGCGGCGGCTGTGGTCTCTGCTATGGGTCCTGGCGTCGCTGGGCGTCTCGCGCTCCCTCCCGAACGCTGACAGCCCGTCCGTTCCGCAGCTACTTCCTGGACGCGCGCTCACAGCTGCAGGTGCCGTTCCTGCGGCTAACCGGCTACTGCTCGGCGGTGCTCTGCTGTCGCACTACGCCCCTGCAGAAGGCCTACATCGTGCGCATCGTCAAGAACCAGCTGGGCGCCCTCACCATGGCCGTCGGTGGGTGGCTACGGCTGCGGGGACAGGCGGGCCGGGCGGCAGCAGTGGCGGCCGTGGGGCGGCGGGCCGGGCGGCAACAGTGGCGGCTGCGGGACGGCGGGCCGGGCGGCAGCTGCGGCGGCCGTGGGGCGGCGTGCAGGGCTGCAGGCAGTAGGCCGGCCGTGGGGCGGGCCGGGCCGGTGGCTGGTGGAAGTGGCGGCCGTGGGGTGGCGGGCCGGGCGGCAGCAGTGGCGAGCCAGGCGGTAGCAGTGGCGGCCGTGGGGCGGCAGGCCGGGCGGCAGCAGTGGCGGCCGTGGTGCGGCGGGCCGGGCGGCAGCAGTGGCGGCAGCTGGTGGCGACCTTGCTGTGTGTCGCCCAGGGCGCAGCCGATACAGGCGTCGGGGATACGTGATGCTGTGACTGCCGGGCTTTGAGATACAGGGATGTAAGGACAAAATCAGCTAGCTTGTGTTGCCAAGCGTTTACTGTCTGATCGTCATCTGACAGTCACGGACTCATACGCACTCCGAAGGTGTTGAAAGGGAGAAGGCAGGTCAACTGTTGGGTCGATGGGCGCCACATAACTGTCGTGGTCGGCGCGCCCCACAGCCCAAATCATCATCATTAGTTGTTGGGTGACCACGGCTCATTGCTAAGTGATCGGTTTACGTGATGGAAAGGTGTGAGGCATAGCCAGTATGCGTCCGCGTGAGGTAAGCGCTGTGAGGTCATCGTAGGCCATTGCCGAACGATCGGTTTGAAATGTAAAATGCCTGACTCATTGCCACCCTTGACACATTTCTGCGTGCACAGGACAGCAGTCTGCCGGCAGACGGCGACAGCGGCGGCCGCAGTCAGTAGGCGCCATCGCTGACGCCGGCCCCGTCCCACCCCCGCCAGGTGACGGCGCCAACGACGTGTCCATGATCCAGACGGCTGACGTGGGCGTGGGCATCTCCGGCCAGGAGGGCACGCAGGCCGTCATGGCCTCCGACTTCGCGCTGGCCCGGTTCCGGTACCTGCAGCGGCTGCTGCTGGTGCACGGCCACTGGTGCTACGACCGCCTGGCGCGCATGGTGCTCTACTTCCTCTACAAGAACGCCGTGAGTCGCCGCCCGACGGCCAGCGCGACTGCGTGGGCGTGGACGCGGGCTTGAGTTTGTGAGTGGGGGTGGGGGTGTGGGTGCGCTGGTGTGGGTGGGGGTGTGGGTGCTGGAAATGGTCGGACGACGCGCAGCGGCATGAACTTACAAAGAGATCTATGACGATCGTAGGTAAGACTGAATTGGCCTTCATAGAAAGAACGCCCACTGTTATATGTCGGAGTTCGGTTCTTCTTTGGGATATTCAGAACACGAGGTTTGTCGCTAAATGTGCACTGCCAGCTTTGTGCTTTGTATTCGCTCGTGCCATGTTCCATCATGTTAGTGTGTCAGCAAGGCTGGAGGTGCTGATTCTGATACCATGACTCATTTACAGACATTCGTCTTCGTCATCTTTTGGTACCAGCTGTACTGCGGTTTCTCCGGCGCCGTGATGGTGGACCAGATCTACCTGTCCCTCTTCAACCTCATGTTCACCTCTTTGCCGCCTTTCGCCATGGGTGAGTGTCAAATTGTCTGCTTAGGTTCGTCTGCCTCCTGCCTCCCAAGGACACGCCGCTGTGGTCTGGCGTTGTGCTTTTTACTGAGTCGGGTAATTGAGGAAGCACGATGCTGCTCGAAAATACCCTATACTGCATTGATCCCGCCTAGTCATGCATCTGCATTAACCGCTGCGCGTCTGGGGAATGAGGGGTATGACCGGGCTTGATTCCCCGCGATGCCCGCCCTTCCTGCCAGGGTGAGAGAAAGGCGATGCCCTAGAGCCTCAACAGCTGAGTGCGCCGTAAAGCCTCAATGACAACAACCAGTTGCAAAGCCACTGCATTGTAAAATCAACGTGTGGCGTCCGCGTATGCTGACCACCAGAGCCAGTACCACCGCCTCGCTAAGCAGACCTGCCATGGGCTCAGCAGACAGAGATCATGCCAGCAAGAGGCAGGTGAACCACGCGTTGACCCTGGCCGGCGTGTGTCTACGGCGTCCCACTGGTGGGACCGGCGCTGACCGTGCGGCGCCCGACCGCAGGCATCTACGACCAGGACTGTCCGGCCGAGCTGCTGATGGCCCAGCCGCACCTCTACAACCAGGGCCGGCTCTCGCAGGTGTACCGGCCGCACTCGTTCTGGGTCAACATGGCCGACGCTCTGTATCAGAGCGTCATCATCTTCTTCTTCGCCGTGCATGTGAGTGGGCCCACCGAATGGAGCCCGGAGGCTGGGGTGGAGGGTGATGTGTGTCGGCGCCTACAGCTGATGTGCTGTCAGATAGTGCGCGCTCTCCGAATGTTGTCAGCTGAAAGCGGGGTACTGCACTGAGGAAGTTCTTAATGGATTACCCGCGATATGTGCGTGCGCTGCTGAAACGATCAGGTGTGGCCTTGCCTAGTCCTCATGCCGTTGCTCATTTTTTGTTTGGGTGCATTCGTCTTTTGATTAAGCGCGCTGCATTTGTACGTAAGCTGGCTTCCACGCCCGGCTTTCGGGGACGAGAAACGAGCGTGGCCGGCGATTTCTGGGTCTATTTTACCGCGGCCCGGTGGCCTGCTGTGTTCTGGCGGTCTGCGGATCCCAGTGACAGCGTGCGGCGCAGCTGGTGGCGTTCCGCGGTCAGCGTCACGCCCCTCGCCGCCGGCGCGGTGTCGGCGCGGCTCGCGAGCGCGCGCGCGCGCCTGCGCTGCTGACGCCGGGCCGGGCCGCCGTCCACAGGCGTACCACGACTCGAGCGTCGACATCTGGGAATTTGGCACCACCGTGGTGGTCATCTGCCTCGTCACCATGCTGGCGCACGCCTCTATCGAGATCAAGTCATGGGTAAGTGGCCGCCGGGGTGGCGCCGGCGCCGGCCGGGTGTCGGCTCCGGCACCCGCCTCGCCGCGACGCCGACAGGTGGCGCGGCGAGACGGGGCCGGGGCCGGGGCGCCGCCGGCGCCGGCTGCTGAGTGCCGTCCGCGCACTGGTAACTCTGAACACCCGCCCGCGTGGTGTCGTCTGCCGCCGCTGCCGCCGCGGGACGTCTCGCCACACACTGCATAACCGGCAGCCGAAATCCAGACTTGTGGGGAGCTTGTCAGAGACTGTGTGCGTGGTGTTGTGCGGCTGGTCCCCCAGTGTCTCGCCACCGATTAGAGACGGTGCGCGGTGTTGTGCGACCTCTGGTCCCCCAGTGTCTCGCCACCTGTCAGATACTGTGTGTGGTGCTGTGCGGCCTCTGGTCTCCCGGTGTCTCGTCATGGGTCAGAGACTGTGTGTGGTGCTGTGCTTCCCTGGTCTCCCGGTGTCTTGTCACCGGTCAGAGACTGTGTGTGGTGCTGTGCGGCCTCCGGTCCCCCAGCGTCTCGCCACCGGTCAGAGACTGTGTGTGGTGCTGTGCGGCCTCCGGTCCCCCAGCGTCTCGCCAGCGGTCAGAGACTGTGTGTGGTGCTGTGCGGCCTCTGGTCTCCCGGCGTCCCGTCACCGGTCAGAGACTGTGTGGTTTGTGCGGCCTCTGGTCCCCCAGTGTCTCGCCACCTGTCAGATACTGTGTGTGGTGCTGTGCGGCCTCTGGTCTCCCGGTGTCTCGTCACCGGTCAGAGACTGTGTGTGGTGCTGTGCGGCCTCTGGTCTCCCGGTGTCTCATCACCGGTCGCCGCCGGTCCCGTCTGAGCCGTCGGACCGACTGGTGGCTGACAACAGCGCCCTCCGTTCCAGACGTGGATCCACGCGGCCAGCATCGTGCTGTCGCTGGTTTCTTTCTTCGTGTTCGCGCTCGTCTACAACGCGGTGTGCTGGGCGTTTCCCAGCCTGGCCGGTTCCTCCTGGGTGATGCAAATGGCCATGAGCACCCCCACCATGTACCTGGTCGCCACGCTGGCCGCCGTCGCCGCCTGCCTGCCTCGGTCAGTCGCCGGCGCCGCTGGCGGGTCGGGTCACCTCGGGAAGCACGGCTCGCAGGCGCGGCAGGCGACCGTGACCGACGGGCTTGAGAGACCTGGCAGCGCGGGGAGCTGGTGGCCAGTGAGACGACTGGCCGTCCACACTGCCAGCGGCATGCGCGCCAGCAGTCGCAGTCTCGAATCAGGGTTATCCGTGTGCAAATGCAGCACCTGTGAATACTCCCACAACCGTCCTGCGCGGTTGAACGTGCGGAACCTCAGGGGTCTGCGCATTGTCTCGGCCAGAGTGGGCATGGCTGCTCCAGCTGGTCCGGGATCGCAGCGCCCCTCCCCCCCCCCCCCCCCGCTACCTGCCAGGTGACGTTCCGCGAGGGATTCCGGTTATGTGCAGCTTCGGCGTGGCCATAACAGATCGCGGCTCGAGCCCGTTGACGGCTGTTGTGATAGCGCGGCTCGCGCATACCATCGCCTCTTGGCAGTGGGCGGCAACAGGCGTGCTGTGTCGGCGAGCCGGCCGCCGGCTGGAGCCGAGGCGTCTGGAGCGAGCGCCGCGCGCGGTCCTCTGGGGTCTGAGCCTCCTCCCGGGCATGGTGCGCCGTCTTGAGGTATTTTCCTCATCACTCGGGACAGTTACCGTCCACCTCCGGAGGTCACCCTGGTACCATGAGACATGTTCCCGTCGCCCCTGGACCCGCCCCCATCACTGCTGGGCATGTCCCGTCGCCGCTGAGTATGTTCCGTCACTACTGCGCCTGTTGCCGGCACGTCTAGACCCGTGCCTGTCACACTGGACCCGTGCCCAGCACGACCGAACCACTCTCCATCGCCACTGCACCTGTCCGCGTCATCGCTGCCCCCCTGGTCGTCGTCACTGAGTCCGTCCGGCGGCCGGCGGTCCTGTGGTCGTGGCCGCGCTGACCCGCGGCCGGCGCCGGCGCGTCTGTCCGGCGCGCCTGACCTCTGAGTCAGCGGCGGGCCGCACCCAGCCGCGTCCGGTCCGTCTCGCCCGGCCGGGCGCGCCGCATCTCATTCCCGACCCGCACCAAATGGGGATAACGAATTCGGCTGGTCGGCGCGACTGCCGCGGCTCGGGAGGCTGCGGCTCCCCCTACCGAGGCAGCGGCGAAGCGGCCCCGTCAGGCCGGCCGGCTCGACTGCCGCGGCTCGGGAGGCTGCGGCTCCCCCTACCGAGGCTGCGGCCCCCCCTACCTGCGGCTCTCCCTACCGAGGCTGCGGCTCCCCCTACCGAGGCTGCGGCTCCCCCTACCGAGGCTGCGGCTCCCCTACCTGTGGCTTCCCCCTACCGAGGCTGCGGCTCCCCCTACCCGCGGCTCCCCCTACCGTGGCTGTGGCTCCCCCTGCCGAGGCAGCGGCGAAACGACCTCGTCACCAGTGCGGACGACACCGTCCGCGCTGTGATGCGTGGCGGCGGCGATTGACAGCGGGTAGCAGGGCTTAAGCACGATCTGTTGCGTAACGTACGCTCTTACGCTGTGATCTTGTTTGGGTCGGTGCCGTGTATCAAATACTGTCTGGTAGGAATGCGGGCTGTGTGTGCTAAGTGGTGTTCTTTGTCAGGTATGTGTCTCAGCGACGGCATGTCAGTCCCGGTCTCGGTCCGTGCTGGTGACACGGTCACTGCAGCAAACGCTGGGTCGCCCTCACCCCTCGGTCCGTGCCGACAGGCTGGTGACGCGCTCACTGCAGCAAACGCTGCGCCCGTCTGCGGTGGTGCGCGCCAGTCTGCGCCGCCGTCGCGCCGAGGAGAGCCACCAGATGGCCGAGCTACGCTCGGCGCCCTGGTCGAGCAGCACTTCCCTCTCGTCCGTGTCGGTCGTCAGGTAGCTATCCATGCGCCGGGGGCCGGCGGCGCCCCTGCTGACGCGGCGAAGGGACGCGCCGTGACCTGGAGCCTCGCGACTGACCCCTGGTGCTAGGCGTGCTGGTCGTGCCTGTTTTCGAGGCACGCATCGTGGAATGACGCGAAATGATTGGTCATTGAAAGACACGCATGCGCGGAGAGAGAGGTGCCGTCGTGACGGCCTGCAGACGTCTGCTGATGTAGCATTTTCAAGAGAGAATGTGTGGACCCGTCGCCCTGTGTTCCGTAACAGCGGTGCATGGTAAGCCAGTGATAAGGTGGATCGGAGGAGCGTGGATCGACATGATAAAGTTCCATTGGCGTTAACTTAACTGTGCCCGCTATCTGCAAGGTCAATCGTGTGTTAATAGATGTACTCAACTTTTCCCAATTATCAAGGTTCCGTGCAAAAATGACCATGAAACTCAGAAGGAAATCGACAATAGCTTCGGCACCATTTTTTTAACGTCAGGAACAGGTTACATTCCGTCAAACTCTTGGCAAGTCGAGGTCTAAGAGAAGGAGGATGTAATATAAGCCATAGGCTCTGTGGCCCGTCATAACCGATCGCGATGTCCACACGGACCCTGACTGGCGCAGGGTGGCTCGACAAGGCCGCTGTTCCCTGATGTGTGCGGTAATGATGATTAAATTTCGTCGCGTGCCGAAGTTTTGCCGAATATAAGAGAGACGTGGCCTGCCCGTCCATGTTGGGAGAACTGTGGTCGACAAATGCCGACTGTTGCCTTCTCGTCCATCGGCAACCGTAGCGCTTCGCCCATCGCCGTCACCGCCGGCCGAGTGGTGCGGGTGGCCTGTCGGCGCGTGCCGCTCGTGTGACACGCCCGCGCCGCCGGCAGGACGAGCGAGTACAGCGGCGCCGCCGAGCGGCTGGAGCAGAACGGTATGCCGACGGTGGCGTGAGCCGCGCCGCCGCCCGCCGCTGCCGCCCGCCTCTGTGATACCGGCGGCGCCGCCGACAGCGCAAGTGCCTTCGTGGGCCTGGAGGACGGCGCCGAGACTGTGCCTTCAGTGACCTGGAGGGTGGCCGAGACTGTGCCTTTGGTGACCCGGAGGCCAGCAGGTGACCGGTCGCCGGACTCGGGCTCCCCCTGCGCGGGTCTGTCTGTTATTGTCACCTTCGTCACGTGGCGCCGCTGCAGCCCCGCCTCCTTCAGTCGGTGTGTTCTGTCTCACGATGCCGCTGGCTTTTCGGACACACATTCCCCCAGCGCCGTGTACTTCGTCAGTCGTTTCTGGCATTTCACTGTGTTACGTACGCTGTTGTATGCGTTATGTTAGTGCCTTTGTAGTCCGGACTGCGGGTGTGACGCCGGCAATCATTAGTCTGCTTTCATATCGGTTGTTATGCGTAGATCGAGGCGGTCGCCGAATCCGGGGTCATTTGCTTGATTGTAGATCGTTTTGATACTTGTTTTGTACTGGTTGGCCCAGCGCGTTGACGAACGCCATCCTGCACTATTTATTCGCTCGATGCTAAGAAGCTACGTTGTTGGCGTGATAGCGGAGTGCTTTATCGGTGCACCGAGGGCACGCCTTATTGATGATCGACTATGTTATTTTTGTGATTAGCTCGCGTGCCGCGCGACGGATTGGCGGTGCGAGCTTGTTTCGGCGCAGACAGGGGCCCGCTCCACGCGTGGTTGGCTGTCGCGAGACACGTGTGTCGCTGTGAAGCTGGCCGGCCGCGCCGTCTGAGTGGATCAGCACCTGTTGCATTGGTGATTTCTCCAGCACTCGATGTTGGTGTTTGAATGAAGTTGTGATGTGCCCGCGTGTAGTCCCGGCCCAGCCACGCGCCCGCCGCCCGACCGCACGCCGCTGTCCTGTCACACGCTCAGCCTGACCAGTCCCCTCGTGCCAAACTAGCGCACCTCTGTCGCCGCTCTGTGACCGACGCGTCTACTGCTGCCGCGGCATGCGCTGCGTACCCATGTACCTGGCGCCTGCGCCTGTCCGGAGCAGGCGGGTGTCGGTCACACGCCAGACTGTACCTGAGTCTTCCGGCTCTCTCCACCCTGCCGCTGCCGAGAACCGGTCCCTGCCGGCCGGCTGCGCACCTTGGCTACCGCTCCCTTGTCCGGGTTTCCCCAAATGCCTGGGACCATCCTGCTCCCCTTCCGATCAGACCAGGGTCTCGGCACTGAACACAAACACAGCTGGTGACGGCCGGTGCCGGCGCCCCGCTGTCGGCACCGGCCGGGCCTCCAGATGTCACCTCTGTTGACGGGGTGTGTACGGCGCTGTCAGGACCGCAGACAATCCACATATGCACCCAGTGCCTCACTGTTTTGTACATGACATGTCTCCCCCGTGACGGCCGAGAACGCACCAGGAATCCTCGTCACCCGTCCCGCTGCCTCGCTCCGCCCCGCGCCCCGGTCGTTCCCGTTCTCTCCTGTCCGTGCAGTCCGGCTCCGTCCCTCCTCGAGCGGCCCCGTCCCGTCCCGGTGATGTTGTCCGCCGTTGTTTCCCAGTCGTGCCGAGCTCACCCATGACAGTCCTGACCTCACCGTCCGAGTCGCCCCCCCCCACTCCCGACCTCAGCTCGGTCACAGTCGTCACCGTACATTCCGCCGGGTCCTCTGGCCTCCGGCACGTCCGTGCTTGTTTATTTTGGGAAATAAATCAAGATGTGTGTTGGAGCGCTGGCATTTTGTTCGTGAGGTTTTGGAGCGGGGCGCGCCTGCCTCGCGATGGAACGCCGCGATGTCCGTGTCGGTGCATGGGTTGCCAATACCAGCGCCGAGGCGGTCAGAGATGAGGACAGATGTGCGCCGCAGTGTACACGAATCAGCATTGATATGGGTCACGTGCAAAGCCGGGGTACATGTTGCGGATACCATGGGTCTTGTGAGAGAAGAGACTGACGCGGTGGCGCTCCGCCTTAAGGCATGGTTGGGATATGGGGGGATAGCTTCTGTGATGGGATATTGGGGCCAAAGTTCGTACTAAAAAAGAATAATAAGCATGCTGTCCCCACACCTCCCCATGGTCACCCGTGTGTCGGGAGTTACATGATACCCACTTCGATCGCGAAGGCTAGCACTCGCGAGCGGGCACAGCGCCGTGCACCGGGGCGTCTGGTGCACTGTTACCACACAGCGCCGTGCACTCGGGCGCCTGGTGCACTGTTACCACGCAGCGCCGTGCACCGGGGCGCCTGGTGCGCTGTTGCCACACAGCGCCGTGCACTCGGGCGCCTAGTGCACTGTTACCACACAGCGCCGTGCACTCGGGCGCCTGGTGCACTGTTACCACACAACGCCGTGCACTCGGGCGCCTAGTGCACTGTTACCACACAGCGCCGTGCACTCGGGCGCCTGGTGCACTGTTACCACACAGCGCCGTGCACTCGGGCGCCTGGTGCACTGTTACCACACAGCGCCGTGCACCGGGGCGCCTGGTGCACTGTTACCACACAGCGCTGTGCACCGGGGCGCCTGGTGCACTGTTACCACCCGGCGCGGGCCGACGCCGGGCGCCACCTCGGGCGGCGGCGAACTGGTGTCGGCGCCGCCCCGACCTTCCAAACGGGCGGCGGCCGCGGCGGGGGCCGCCGGCTCGTGACCGGTCGGACACGCGACGACCGGCGGAGCCTGGCGGGGGACCGGTCCGGCCGGCAGCCGGCCAGGGCAAGGCTGCCGCTGCGGAGGGCTGGCGCGGGGCGGCGAGGCCGGCCAGCCGCCGCTGGACGGCGAGCGGTGCGCTGCCGCGTCGTCAGAACGTCGTTGGGGGGTGGCGGTAGAGGTGTCCTCAGTACTGAGGTAAGCAGGGATCAAGTGACTTAGAAGACGTGTGGGTGGCACCCCAGGAGGCAGCAAGCTGCTGCTGTTTTTGTTTCGCGTGCATGACTTCATGCAGTGTTGGGGCTGTCCCAATTCAGTGTTAGAGCTTAAAGATGATGCAAATGTCCTGTGTGATGACTTCACCCAGACAGAACCACTATCTGTTCGTCGCTGTTGGTGACCGCAAGAGCCGGACATGATGAATTTTCGCAGAAGCGGTTTTCTGGGAATGCAGCACGAACGCCCATTATAGGTTGCATCAAGCGTATGATCGCAGAGTGAACATGGCCGGAAGATGCTCCCCGTCTGATCCCATGGGCCACGCCTGTTTCGTATTGGCACTGTCGGATGCAGGCTGGGCATTGTTTTTCTTACGTCAACAACACCTCTGGTGCGAGCGTATCATCTTCGAATGCGCGGCGTTTCCAGTGGCAGGTGGACGGCAAGCGAACAGCGCTTTATTTTGTTTTCGCGCCGGAGGGTCCCTGACATTCATGCCCTTTGCTGACGTCGGCTTGAGCGGTGGTCGTGCTGCCCGGCGACGACAGCTGGCTGGCGTTGGCCGCGGTCAGTCGGGCGCCGCGGGCCATTAGGCCCCGGTCAGCTGGCGTCGGTGGCGTGGCGCGGGGCTGGCGCCGGGGCGGCTCCGCGGGCCCGGCCGCCCGCGCCACGCCGCTCGGCCGAGGTGCCTCTGGGCGGGCACGGCGCCGGTGGCAGCGCGCGCTCCGATTCGAACGCCGCCCGCCCGGCGTTGACTACGGAGCCAAGCCGAGGAGGTCCGCGGTCTCGCCGACTCGGGAGGACCATCCCCGTGTCACGCCACCACCATGCCGCCATCATCATCCGGATGTCATGCCGCATCAAGCGTTGACGAGGCTCGATGTGGCATGACGTCTGTGTGGCATGACGTCGCAGGATCTGGGGCCACAGTGTGCGCGGAGGTTCATAGGATTACGGTTAATTAGGCTGGAGGCGGCTTTAGCAAACGGCAGAAACAGGAGAACGCACTGCACTGAAGCGTGTAAATTCGCATTTGGCATTCGCAGCACGAGTCCGTAGATGTTCGGCGTGCGCGGTACGTTTCTGTTGGAATGATTGCTGATGAGCTGAGTGTTTAGTCCTTTGTGAGAAGAAGTAAATCGCACCGAGAGAGCCGCAACGCTCGCCGGTCACTCGGCAGCCGAGCTGCTCGCGCCGCTGGCCGACCACTCGCAGCTGTGCTGCCTCCGCCGGCGGCCGCGTCGGCCGCGGAGTCACCGGGCGGGGCCGGGTTTATTTGCGCTGAGAGCGGATGTCGGCCGGTTTGGGGCCGGGCGGCAGCGGGCCGTGCGACAGACGGCGGGGCGCAGCCGTGCCGCTATGCACGGGCCGCGACGGGCGCCTGTGCCGCCGCCCGTCGCCGCGTGAGCCAGCTGTAAACATCCCGCCGTCAACATCGCCGCTGACGAGACGGCCGCGCACGGTCTTGACGACGCCGGCGCCGAGCGTGCAGTGGCCGGGCCTGGGCCCGACCGGGCGATGACGGGCCCGGCCCAGCTGACCTGCCGTTGTCTGGGGCGGTGGCGGAGCGGCGCAAACTCCGGCCAGGGAGGGCACGATGCGTCAGAGCGGACGTCTCAGTCTCAGCGCAGGGTGTTGGACCGGTCGGGACAATGCCGTGGTTGTCGTACGCGGAAGTCGTCAGAACATGCGTGGTATTGCGGTACGGTGACGAGATGTGGTAAAGGTGGTATTGTGGTACGGTGACGAGATGTGGTATGGTGGTAAAGGTGGTTTACCAAGACACTTTGATTTTGGTGTCGTATTGGATCACAAAGGGATGGTCACTTTACATAGTCGACTCTACACACTCACTTTATATGCTCGAGCTTTACATAGACGGGATTGAGTTTTCGTGGCCAAATGATCCTTCGTAGTGTTTTCCACTTCCCCTCAAAGTTTATGACTGGTGATAATTAACTGACTTGTCACCACTTGCACTCCGTTGCTATCGTTTAGGGGAATGGTATTTCGCATACAGACCTCAAATTGCAGTTTTTAATCCCGAGTGTGTGAGCCAGCTTGTAATCTACAGTTGCAGTGGACCCGCCCAGCTTTACCCTCCACGTTCAGCACGCGGACTACATTGAGCTTCGAGACTAAGTGCGACTTGACTTGAAACGTAATGATATTGGGGCTGCTTACGTTTGTCGCGCCCCCTGTCGACCGCCTGGCAATGCTGCGTGCTTCCTGCGTGTCCCAGATGTGTTGTTTAAGCTGAAGTTAGATCCTAGAAGACCGAGAACGAATGGCTTTGTCCGATGTCTCGTCTCAGTTCGGTGTGTAAACTACTAGGTACAACTACACGACCGATCAACATTACTAAATAAGCATGGATTGTGCCCTTGTATCAAGCCATAAGAAAACGCGACCAGTTCATTTATTGCAAAATGGAGCCGAAAGAGAAATGTCGGAATATTTTCTGTTAGCATATCACGTCGGTTTTGTTTTGGATAGTAGACACCAATCGTCTGTGCACGATCAAAATGCGCCCAGCCCGCTGGGCTTGTACGCCCATTCGTCCGCTTGTTCTTGATGGTGGCTCTTGCACATGATAGAAGACATCGGAATCTGTATTCGGTGCAAAACGCTGCACAATACTCTTACTAACGTTTCGTGTTTTTCTCGTCTTAGTTGCTCCTGTTATGCCGATTAGCCATAGGCACACAGGCCGGCGGCCGTTCTTTACAGATGCTGCGGCTGGTGACTCAGCTTAACGACGTGAAATATAGGTGCGTATGAAGACACTTCTTGGATCAGTAAGAGGCCATTTGCTAAGATGCGAGATTTAGCCTAAGAGGTCAAGATACAAGATCCGTCCGGTGGCGCAGGCCGGCGGGGCTGGGGGGGGGGGGGGGGGGCACAGAGAACACGTGCGCCCCTTTGGGGCTCCTCGGAATCTACGATTAGGGCACGCTTTGAAGGCCCGAAGGGCCCAAAATTCCAGCCAGAGGTCTTATTCAGGGGCTCCGGCCAGCAGGGTCAGGTACCCAAATGCCAGCCAGAGGGCCCTGCACTGCTGATCAGGGGTCACTGAGTCGATAAGGGCCGTTATTTCGGTCAGATGCCATCAGTAAAGCACGGTCGGCTCCGTGGAGGCATTGGCCTAAGTGCCATTTCCCAAGAAGGGACAGAGCCGGAACCAGCGATATACATTCCTCGGCCCCACAGCGCCTAACAGGGGCCCTATGTTGTCAAGGGTCCCCGAGTCGGCCTGAGGCAGTCCTCGAGGAGGTCCGAAGAGCCTAGAGGGTCCACCCGGCCGGCGATCAAGAGGGTCTAAGAAGGTTGGAGGGCCTAAGGGCATAAAGAGCTGGTCGGAATCTTATGCAGCGACCCAGACCTGCGAAGACGGATCCCCAAATAACGGTCAGAGGGCCATTTGCGCCGATAGAGGACCCCCTGAGTCGATATGGGCCTAAATTTCGGTCAGGTACCACCGTACCACATACCCGGCTCTGTGTCGGTATGGGCCCGAGGACCCACTTCCCAATCAGCTATAAAGCGGGGGCCAGTGCCTTATGCTGGTTGGGGGCCTTGTATCTGTCAGGGGCCCACAGAGCCCAACAGAGAGCCCTGTGCTCGCAACAGCCTTGAGCCGACCAAGGGAAGTGTTTGATGAGGCCCGAAGAGGGGCCCGGGCGACCCAGCGAAACCGACTATCAAAGGCCCGGATGGAGCGCATAAGGGCCCGAATGAATAGCTGTAGATCACATAAAGAATCGCGGCCGGTATAGTCGTGACCGGAAATATTATAGAAATATTGGTCAGAGGTCCTCTGGCACCGTTTTAGGAGCCCCTGACATCATGCGGATGTCCAAGTCGTCCAGAGACCACGAGCACCGAGCAGCCGGCTCTATGTCCATCTGAGCCCTTGAGACCCAATTCCGAAGCAGAAACGAGACCGGGGTACGCGGCTTGCAATGTTCGGGGTCCCTAACACATGATGAGCTCCTGTGTCGGTTAGGGGCCACAGTGACGGACAGGGGTCTTGTGGCAGCGATTGGCTCCGAGTCGGAGCAATGTTTGAGGGGGCCGAAAAGGAGTCCCGAGACCAAAGATGAAGAGCTCGATAAGAAGACTGAAGGATCCAGAGGGCTGGCTGCAGGTCACATTAAGGACCTCCGTCCATCATAGGGCCGTGATCTCAAATGTCAGTAAGATGATCTCTTGCACCGATAGGGACACCTGAGACAGAGCGTCCTTCTGTTTCGGTCAGAGATCACGAACAACTAACAGTCAGCTCCGTGTTGGTCCGAGCTCTGGGAGCCTATTTCCCAGGCAGGGACAGAGCCAGGCTAGCGATTGACATCGGCCGGGCTCCCGCATCATAGCGGCCCACAGTGCCTAACATGACTGAATTCTGCCGTTGCCTGGAATTGCGCGATCGGATGGTGGGGTCCAGGGTTCACACAAGCACTGTTTAGCGTGAGCGCTGATCCTAGAAATCCACTCATTCAAGGGCTTCAGATCAAATTTACAACAAGATATCACTGAATGTTGAAGATATCCAGGCAAACATGGCCTGGCCATGTTGAAACTAATTGTTGACCAATTTTGATCTTCACTTTACATTCGCGTAATCCATGCGATTTCTGTACAACCCCGATACAAATTATCACAAAGTTCCCTACTTCTGTCGGTTTAAAAAGAGTCCACCGGACTATTATGAAATGAAAAACGTAGGTGATTTGTTTCATGCAGGCATTTAACGAGTAATTTTGTCAGTTTATTTGCTACGAATTTAAGGCAGAATTGATCTGGCGGTAGCGTCTGACCAATATCCCAGTTATAGAAGGTAAAAATGTGCGGTTTATATATATGTATATATATATATATATGTATATATATATATATATGTGTGTATATATATATGTGTATATATATATATATATATATATATATATATATATATATATATATGCATAAGAAAAACGTGTCCTGAATAATAAATGAGTCATCCCCGACGATCTCTTCTGGGGGGGGGGGGCATTTACTGTCAGGGGGCCCTTTGTGAACCCTGTGCCTCCCCACTTACCAAGGCTCTGGCTGCGCCCCGGGATCCACCATAGGTATGGGATTAGTATGTAGGTTTCAGTGTTGCCAGAATGCATTTATATCATGAGGGCGTGCTTGCCTTTGTGTGACCTTTATCCGCCTCGTACCACACGCACCTTTCAGTTTACCTGTCATTTGGAAGACAATTATTTGATAAATGTTGGGCAAGTACCTTCGCCAGAAACGCATGTCGGTGATTACGAAGGCACAAGTTCACAGACATACTCGCTTGTTTTGTATGCGTGGTCCGCAGATGATTAGACGAATAGACGATTAGACGCTCATCCGAGTTTTACCATCCGATGCGACAGTAGCAAGCCTGGTCCGCGCGCCTTGTCGTGACGCAGTCAGATCTTTTCGAGCATTCGTGAAAAAAATAATCGAGTCAACTTATGTGCGTGGTATGCGTTTTGTAAAACCCCCATTTCAAAGGAGACTACGACCATAACGTGCATTCGCGAAACATGAAAGTGTGAAACGCGCTTTCAGAAAGCTGTTTTCGACGAGATATACAATATGACATTGAATGTCCCGCTTTACGCACCATGCCTGCTGCAGACTTCAAGAAATGGTAACCGTGGTATCCATGGTAAATGGTAACTTCAAGAAAAGAAGCAGCCGTGAATGCGTCACGTCATTGCTCTCCAGGTTCCCATTAGCAAGCTACGGTCGGCAAGTGCCTCATGGAGGTGATTTTGTGTGTGGCTTGATGTTGCCTGATGATTACCTAATGCTGATTCCGATGGAAGTGGACTGATTCGTGGGTGGTCAGCGTGATGGAAGTCCACATATGCAGCTCAAAGTCTACATTCGGCTCCGACCACCGATCTCCTGCGGCTCGGTCTTGCTCTCACCTGCTCCGCTGATCCATTATCCGGGCCCCCAGCACTCGCTGTCAGGTGCGCGCGTCACGATCCGTCATTTGTTGGCGCTCCCCACGGTCCGTTCCGTTTTTGGCGGCGGTCCCGCACGGTCCGGACTGAGCCGAGTCCGCGCGGGCGGCGACGGCGGCGGCGGCGGCGGCAGTAGCGCGTGGGACGCCGCCCGGGTGGGTGGGTGCGCCCCATACGTATGCACACCTGCAGTTCTGTGTCCGTGCCTGCTATGCCCTCCGCGCGCCGGAGTGACGTGTCGTGAGGATCGGCCGCGCAGTGAGCGGCGCGCCGCCCCGTCATGTTGCGAGAGGAGCTGGAGGTGAGTGAGCACGTCGCAGCGGATCTGCAGAAGGGCTCAAGCGGCTTTTGACGAAGCCGCGGTGAAAGATCCCAGGCCGTGAACGGAGCTGAGCGAGCGTGTCAAATCCGTTAGGGAAAACGGCCATGGCCGCCGACGTGTCGACAGCGCTCATCACTCAACGTAACCAGCCGTGATGAAGAGCCCGTAATTAAGTGAAAAGCTGGCCGATGCGGTCATGAGATACAGATGCGTACCACGCAGTCGCTGACGCAGTTGTCGATCGACAGTATCCCACGCGAACAGAAGGCTGCTTTGCGCCATCTGAGTGACGCCTGGCTTAATAGGAAGAAATAAGTTTTATTTAGTAAGCTGGTCGACTGGAAACTAACAGATGTGCATGCAGAGCGACATGCTCATGACCCCGACGTACAGATCGCTTAAAACGACCGCTTCTCATGGTGAGCGCGGTATACTGACTGAGCGACTCATGAGTCAGATCACCCATCCACCGACTACGTTCGGGGGGGGGGGGAGGGGAGGAGGGGAGTAACAAGGCAGTAGGTTTGGGAGCGGGGTAAGGGAGCGGGGTAACCGTCCGGCATTGACCGGGGGTAAGGGAGCGGGGCAGCAGTCCGGCATTGACCGGGGGTAAGGGAGCGGGGTAACAGTCCGGCATTGACCGGGGGTAAGGGAGCGGGGTAACAGTCCGTCATTGACCGGGGGTAAGGGAGCGGGGTAACAGTCCGGCATTTACCGGGGGTAAGGGAGCGGGGTGACAGTCCGGCACTGACCGGGGGTAAGGGAGCGGGGTGACAGTCCGGCATTGACCGGGGGTAAGGGGGCGGGGTGACAGTCCGGCACTGACCGGGGGTAAGGGAGCGGGGTGACAGTCCGGCATTGACATTGACATTGACGAGTCCAGCATTGACGAGCGCCGGCCCGACACCTGTCGGCTGCCGCTCCTGCGTGTCCTCCGGAGCCTCGTCCTCCCGACACTGATGAGGAGCCAGCGGCGGCCGCTCCCTCAGCGGCCGTCGAGTCCGGGCCACCGGCGGCCCGCGGAGAGCGCTGTCAGGCCCGCCAGGGAGGTACGGCTTAGCGCCGTCCCGGTGCGACGGTTGCCTGTTGACCTGGTCAGAACGAGGCGGGTCACTGGCGCCGGCAGAGCGCGCCGAGCCAATCCTCGCCGGCGGGCGGGTGTCGGCCCCGCCGGCTGGCGGCGCCGGCGCTGCCAGCCCTGCCGCCTCCTGCGCCGTCTGCGGTCGGTCGGGGGGGGGGGGGGGGGGGGCTGCGCGGAAGCGTGGCAGGACGAACCGACAGACCAGACACAGACATACAGGCCGCGCAGCTCTGCAGTGTGTGGAGCGGTGACGCACGCTGCAGGTCTTTCAGCTGGCCGCGCTGTTTGGCCCGCTGCTATCATGTAGATTCCCGCAGTGGCCAGCGCCAGTCGGCCAGTGTAATGCAAATTGAGCGGTGGTCCGCCGTCGCGTCCGGCGTGATCTATCAGCGGTGCTCATCAAATGTATTTAGGTAGCGGGAGGGGCTAATGATGTTATAAACTGAGGTCAGTCCTTGTCTGTCGGGAAGACTGATGACCCGCTGAAATGCAACTTAAATGACATACATGTTCGTCCTGATAAACCTGGCTTCGCATAGCTGCATCATCCCAAAAGACTGCAGGATGCACTACCCTGAGACGGGCGGGTTCTAAAGTCCAGCGTTTTTCTACTGTAAGGCGGCTCGGTTCTTGGGCGCTGGAACGGATCACTCTCCCCGCGCCCCTAAACATCTGCCGGAGCAGACCAACAGCGTGGCTTCCGCCTCGCCTCGCATGTGCTATCCGTCGTCTGTCTCCTCAGTGCCGGCCCGCAGCGGACGGACTCGAATCTGCGGAGCGCGGGCGCCGCCTCGCCTCGGCGCGAGTGCCGCCTCGCCTCGGCGCGCGCTGGCCCTGGCAAACGGCCGGCGCCGCGCCCAGTGCGTGTAGGCCGGCAGTGCCGGCCCGCTGTTAATGGCTTTCGATCGTGCCGGCGGAGCGTTTGACCTCACGCGGTTAATGTGCGGCCCGTTCGCGGCCCGATCATTGGGCGGCGGGCGGCTGACGCGGCCGCGACTCACGAGCGATCGCGACCGCCCGCCGCCGGCCGGGACGCATGCAGCGTTTGCAGATGATGGGAGCCCTGCCTCCCCTGACCTGCGTACGTCTCTGGTACGCCGCAGATGAAACAGCGGTCCGCCTTTCGTGGCGAGCGTTTTAGCCGGTCGGCGGTGAAGCCAGGCCGTTAGCCGAAGTCTCGTGGCGTGTATTCTGGGAACTTGTGTAGCTTTGCACTTGTGATAAACGTACCCGCTCACGAGCCATAGCGGTGCAGCGCCACGACCCCGTGCAAATAAGCAGGCGAACCGTACAGATCCGAGGAGCTTCGCCGTTCTCCCGACGGATCCGAGCGCGCGGCGACGGCTGTCAGCTGAGAGGGCTGCTGACCCGCCAGCTGGACGACGCCGCGTCACCGGCCGCCGCCGCGTCCTCGGCTCCTCCGAGAAGCCGGGCGGCACGCGGCGCCAGAGGCACGGCTCGCTGGCAGCCGTCCCTCGACGCGGCGCGTCGAGCGACTGACGGGCCCGTATTGACAGGACGTGTTGCACATGGCGTGCATGTGTGACGTGCCCGCTGGCGGCTCGGTTGCTGGCTCGTGTGCCGACGGAGCGTCGCAGAGACGGCCCTCAGGTGCGCCCCCGGCGGGGTTGGGACGCTGCAGAGGCGCCGCGCCCGCCGCGCCTTCTAGGGAGGTGGCCGGCGCCGGCCGGCCGTGCATGCTTAGCCGGTGTCCGTGCAACGTGACGTAACGGAACGGAACGGAACTGAACGGAACCGGAACGGAACGGAACGGAACGGAACGGAACGGAACGGAACGGGGACGGGACGGGACGGGACGGGACGGGACGGGACGGGACGGGACGGGACGGGGACGGGGACGGGGACGGGGACGGGGACGGGGACGGGGACGGGACGGGACGGCCCAGCCTTCCATCAGGCCGCTCCGAGGTCACCAGATCGGGCCGAGCAGCTATTACTACTGGCGGTGCCCTGCGGCTGACAATGACGGAGCCGGAACGTACTGCGTCGGACTTAATCAGCGGAGCCGAGTCCGGGGTGGGCCCGGTTGGGCCAGTGGTGGGCTTCTTACTAGTAGATTTTGGCGCTTTGAATCCGTTCTTGTCCTCTCTTGCAAGTAGGAAATACAACTGTCATTCCCCAATTGAAAAAACAGTGTCTTGTCCAAGGTCAGCGCCTATGTCCACCAAATTGCTGAAAAGTGGTGTGGTTACGCCTAAGCAGAGCTCCACAATTGCGTCTGTGGGAGAAATGTATTGGGTCATTAATTAAATTTCATTTGCTTTTTGCTGTGACGAATACCTTCGACGTTGTTTATGTCTCTTCTATCGTTGGTGTTAGATTTTTTTCTCGCAGAGACAGCCTTTCCGAAAACTGAAAGGAGTGTGAAGCATTAGCACCTTGCCTTGCTTATGTACGAAAGCTGGATGATAAGTATGTTATTTCACTTTATGCGGCCCTGGATGCGATTACCTGCATTTAGGACCGATTTTACTCTATCAACTTTAATTATATGACTTTGACCCGTATGAATAACCCAAATGAACCCAGCTTGACGCCTGCCACGTCTCGTACATATAAAATTCGCTTATCGCCGTTCTATGAGGGAGTGTGGCTTATGTTTGCTGCCTTGTTAATTGCTTCAAAGCGCTGTGTTTATGTTTGTCTTTTTGCAACGGTTTTGATGAAATCAGCCTGACACCGTGCATGAGCAGTCAAATTTCGGATCCGGCCAACGATAAGTTATTTTGTTATTGAATGACGGTGCATGTTTGATTAGATCAACCCCCTATCAGTTTTATGAGGACCTTTTGCTATCATTGGCAGGACTCGCTTCAGCTGCTCACATGTTGATGACGTGTCACCGGAAGTCTGGAACTGCCAGGGACCGATAACCGCCAGGGACTAGTCATTATAATACTGGTCGTCCCGACCACTCCTTGCTAGTATTTTCCTTGGGCTAGCTGGCAAGTGTCGGCGAGGCACGCAGCCGACCTGTTGGCCGTTCGTCGAGTGATGTGTCAGTGGCTGGCCGGAGGACACACCTGCGAGGCATCACGGACGGGCCGGACCGACGGTGGGCCGGGCAAGACGGTGGATCACACCATTTCTGCATGTACGGAATGGACTCAAGCGGCAAAGAATGACTCTCGATGACATTGCGTGCGTGTTTGATGTATTTTGCTGACGCAGTAGTGTCCTAGATGGCAGTCTGTCAGCAGCTGCTGTTATACAAACCCAACAAGTTATTGTAACCGTGCTGGATGTCTGCCGCCCGGCGGCCGTGAATGCGGACTGCCGATCGCTCGCCTCCTCGGACGTCACACGCGGCCCGGCTGGTGTACCCCCCTCCCCCCCCCCGTGATACCCCGCACAGCGGCGGACGGCCCGGCGCCGCCAGCGGAGGCCGGCGTGCGGCAGCTGACCGCGTCTGCTCAACATCTGCCTCAGAATGGTGCGCGGCGTGCAGCGGCCAGCGCCGGCCGCACCAGGCCGTCGCCATTATGCATACGGGCGGACCGATCGCTCCATTTGGTAAAGCTGGGCGAGCTGCCGCCACCGTACGGGCAGCAGGCGGCTGCGGCCTGGCACGGCACTGACAGTTGTCGGCCGCGTGCACCTCGCCGACCGGCCACCGGTGACATGGCCGTCTGCCATGTCACGTTTCGCGGTTACGAGATCGCCATTTGAAGACAGTCTTCTAAAGAATCAGTGGGGCTGCCGCGAGCTCTTGCACGTCTAATCAAGCCGGTATAGAGCTGTCGGTCCACGAAGCCTCTGGGATGAAGCGCCATGGCAACTGAGAGTCGTTTGTCTTAGTTCCGGCTTTATACCTGTGTTCGAGGTCTCCACGCTTGTGACCCTTAGTTGGTACTAAAGGCACCATGAATAAAGGCTG